GGTCTAATCTAAGGTCTGGATCTGGTCTATGGTCTTTTCTCTGGTATTTGGTGCTTTGTTGTAAGTAATGATGAAACTGATAGTATGTAATTTGTGTAAGGACGGGCAAAGGAGTAAAAGAAAAACGAATAAATAGAATTAATAAGTTTTTCTTGATACTGATCAATCATAATTTCAATTGTATTTAATTAGTTTAATAAAAAATGACTTTATATAAACAATACAGACTTTTGATTGGAATTTGATATATAAAAAAATATATATATATAAATTCTTCCTCCCAAGTCTGAACTGTGCTCCAAACTGCACATTTTTACTGACAGAGGATTGGCTGTAAACTTCTCCATTAAAAAGACCCAAGGCCCATTGACAATTGAAAATGACTAAATCGTGATTAGAATGTAAAATGATCTCATAATCCTGCTGTTTAGTAGCCTGATTCATCAGCCGGTTTCACTTCGTGGAAACTGTCTGACCTCGCAGCATTAGGATTTGTTCGCTTGACGGTAGGCAGGTACTTTTTTATTGAACCAATCGCTGCTATTTGGTCGCGATGTATGTAATGCGCCAAATACGGTAGGAAGAAGGGCAATAACATCTTCATGTCCCCTTGATAAAATTCACCAAACATTCTCTTGGGAATCGTTACCAACACAGAATGTCTGTCTTCGTCTACATCCATCTCGACCATTTTGTTTACTGTTGTGCTGTACCACAAAAGGGACCCAGACAGGCACTTGAGTTTGACGTCATGGCTTCAGAGCTCTTCGCTGATTGGCAGTGTGCGGTCTACAACTTCCGGGTGTCTTGCAAACTGTCTAGTGCATTCCGATTCCTGACCTAGTTGATGGAGAGAAATAAAATCAAGCGGAGGCACTAGGTTGAGTAAGCCTGGCTAACTGTTTAGGCCCATGCTACTTCACATAATACTACTTACACCAAAACTGAGCATTAACCATTGTAAATTTCACCTGCCTTCATCTTGATGCACCTTCATAGGCCTGTACCTTGGTAGGATATCACCTAAAACTCTAATATAAATGATACTCTGCATTTCAAGGACACATTAGTAAACACTGCCAAAAACGTTTTAACAATTTCCAGGACCTTATTATCAGTACGAGTGTTCATGGTCCTGTTGAGGTGTTTGATAATACACGCAAAGTGAGAGTGACTAACTGAAAAACTATTGGCTAATGTCATTTTATGTGTGTGAGACATTTTTAATAGCACAAATCAGCTCTTCTGTTGTAACTCCAACCAGGTCATCTTTTTCTGGTCAGTTTGTGTTAAAATGAAGCTCAGATTAAGCCCAGTTTGAGTAACAGAGCTTCAGACAGAGCAGTGCTTCACACCCCCAGAAAATGTTGACAACTGCTGCAAAATATCAATTGCCATCCCATCCAATTTTGCCTTCCAGTAATCGTTCTTCTTAATTGTGAAGCCACTTTTCCTTTTTGCCCTTGATTCAAAATTGACAAACCTTTGCTCATACTCCCAAGTGTCTGCTCTGAAATATGGGAATCATTTTTCTTTGGAATCGAGCCAGATACTTTGGGAAGGTTATTCATTCCGCATTTTTCCATTGAGTGTATTGAGTTCTCCATCGTCCACTACTCCACCTGATAAGATTGTATTCTGTTATTGAATCTATAGGGGCTTTGTTGCTAAGGCGCGGTGTGGAGAGAGTCTTGCGTTCAAAAGTCAGGGCGTTTAAATCAGTTTAGAGGAGCAGCGGAGAGATGGGAAGTCCCCCAGGGGTCTTATTCACACTGTGACGGACAAATATAATGGTACTGTCCGTAATACTGGACTACGTGCATTTTAAAGGAACACCCTTCAGTTTCTACGAGGTCCAGTGTGACATATGAATGATGAGCTCCTCACTAACAATTTCAACATCTCTGGCCTTTTAGAAATTCCTCTTCAGTACAGCTTGACCTAGTAATTCATAAACTGTTTTTCTTGATGGACTGAAAGCTATTAAAACAGGAATTGACAAAGCTTTAACCCCAAAATGTGTATCTTTAAGTATTTTTACTACACAACTATTATTGGTAATGCATAACCTGTGCGTAAAAAAGTTAGGTGAAAATGTCATGGTATGTATTTGTACCTTTCGTGTACCATTTATAGTTCATTATGGCGTTCAGACTACAGGGCTTAATGCTCAATTTGGATTTTTCTGTGAAAGCCAATTTTTTTTGAGAGGTCATTCATATTTCCAGTTAAATGCGACTTGAATGCGATCTCCAGTGTGAACTTTAAACGCCTCAAAAGTGTCCCGCATGTGCATCGGAGGACACAACGACGTCACACACAGTGAGAGTGCTCAGTGTTTACGAAAGTCGCCTAAACGCTGGGCTTGTCTTCCAAAATACGGTCCAGTTCTTGTAAAATGGACAGGTTACATGTCCATGTCTGCTTCTTTGTCTTTAGCCTCCTTGTATTTGACTCGCAAGCTCTTTATTTTTTGTTGACGTTGGAGCCAGGACCGCCTGTAGCCGCGTTTGGCCATTTCTTTGGCAGTCACTTAAAAAAAAAAACGCCCGATTCCCTTCAAGACCCTTTCGATTTATCCCGAATACAGCGATCCCCCAAATATTAATTAACTCGCTAACCTTGCTTTCCCTCCATTGACTAGACTCCGAGCATGACGTGTAGGTGGGATGAATGTGACCTGGCCGTTCAGACTGAAGTCGCATGTCAAAAGATTGGATATGTATCGGGTTTAGGAGCACATATCCAAGTGGCCTGGGTCGCATTTGAGAAAATCTGATCTGTGTCGTTCAGACTGTCATTAAAAGATCAGATATAGGAGCATAGGGGCGAAAAAATCTGATTTGGGTCACTTCAGGCTGCAGTCTGAACATAGCCTATGATTCTAATACAACTAAAATGGCTGTAATTACAATTTGTGGTAGTTTATGTGTTTTCGGTGCAAGTTGTTTAGCTATTAATTGTGGTTAAAACATATTAAAATGGTGTTACCTCATCCAAAACATACCCGGAGTTATGTTTTGTTTCATTCGCACATAATCCTGCATGGCTGAAATCATCCAACTAGTTCTTGTGAAGGTATGTAAAACATGCATGTATGTTAAAAGGTATATAAAAACACAGTGGAGGTCTTCCTGTATTACCACATGACTTCACAAGATGGAACAGAGTGTTTTTCCATTTGAGAGAAGAACTCAGCCTAAATATGCAGGATTTATGTGTTAAACATGTGTAAATGAATGTTATGAATGTCTGGTCATGTTTTGGATGAGTAAACAACATTATAACATAGATCAGAAAATGGCCTAATATGGGCTCTTTAAAAGTCCACTCTGGCAATTGACTTCAGGTACATGTGCTAATACCTACAGCAGACTGGATTGTCATTATGTAAATCCCAGCGTTAACTCGACACTGCAGCGGCCCACGTCTCTGCTCTAAAAGCTTTTCCAGACTGGACCTGTCTGTAGTTTTGTTTAAACAGACACTCACAACACCTGAGACCCAGAGGAGCAGAGCAGGGGCAAAGATCTCACTGTGCAGAAGTGTTGTCACGATACCAGGACTGCAGGGAACTATCAGAATAATGGTGACTGTCTGACTATTTTAAAGATGCAACATTACATGAAATTGACTCTTGTGAGGTTTAAGCTGTGTTATAGTGTTTTTACCTCATCAAAAACATACCTGGAGTTGTGTTTTGTTTCATTCACACATGAATCCTAATCCGTAATCCTGCTTTATCAGGCTACTCCATCTTTAAAGCTCAAAATGCACTGCCCCACCTTGTGATATCATGAAGTGGTAGTTTTCAAGTTAAAAGTTTTTTTTTTTTTTTACCTTTTACCAATTCTAGGGATGAAATGATTAGGGATGTAACAATAACTGAAATATCGTGATATCGTATCGTCAAAACTTTCACAATAATATCGGAGGCCATCGCAATATATCACATTACAAGTCTCTTTGCTTAAGTGAATAGTTATGGTGATTCTAATGTCTTTATTTATGATTTTAATGTCTTTCTTATTCTGTAAAGCGCTCACAATTACTTACTGAAATAAACTTGCCTTGCCTTACCGTGGTGCAACAATAGAAAAGCCCAGTGGGAACTACGTAGACCATGATCCTTTGCTGTTTCTGTGCAGACTACGTGAAGAAATAACTGTTATGAAGCACTTTAAAATCTTCGTATTATAACAGTACAAAAGGTTTTTAAAAGGAAAAACTAACATATTCACAATTTTATAAGCCTCCACTAACTATCGCATTAAATATCGAAACCATGAACATATCATGAAAATATCGTATCGAAGGGATTTTGATATCGTTACATCCCTAGAAATGATCCAAACGATTCTAGTGTGTTTGTGTGTGTGTGAGTGTTTTCTGTTTGACAGAAGAACTCTAGAATAAATATGCAGGATTTGTGTGTTAAACATATGTGAATGAAACAAAACACAACTCCAGGTTTGATTGTGAAGAGGAAACAACATTATAACACAGATCAGAAAATAGTATAACATGGGCATAACGTATTTTGAACTTTATCGGTATTGTTACCTGGACTATATCAAAGACAATGGGATTAGACCGTGATTTTCAAACAGTGAAAGGAGGATGTTGGTTTTTAAACTGATCTATTGTGCTCATAGCTCTTACAAACCCTTTGGCACATCGCTAGTATTCACCTGCTTTAGTTTTTGGTCTCTAACTCAGCTTCAGAACAACTTTTTCAGATGGAACTGACTGAGCTGTACCTACTAATTTATGAGAAGAAGAAGTTGGGCTCTTCAATCACGATCAAAATGTCAATCGTGACTAAACAGTTTAATCTTTATTTGGTTAAAATGTGTTCACAAAATACCATAAATAATTGTAAAAGAAGAACAGCAATAGAATAAACAATGAAACCTACCTGGACGACTGAGACTGAAGGGTTACACAGATACGAAAAACCAAGGCTAACATACGTACTCTCCTTCTTTTGTCTCTTCCAGACTACCGTACCGGGCCGTGCTTTGCCTCCGTGAACAACCAGATGTGCCAGGGCCAGCTGACGGGCATCGTGTGCACCAAGACGCTGTGTTGTGCCACGGTGGGACGGGCGTGGGGGCACCCGTGTGAGATGTGCCCCGCCCAGCCGCACCCATGTCGCCGAGGGTTCATCCCAAATCACCGCACCGGAGCATGCCAAGGTAAAGTCTGCCCCCCCTCTGTGCCCCGAGGCCTCTTTTCATCCAGTAATAATTTACGCTCTGCTTTTTTGACTTTTGACTTGGCCTCTGCGCTACTCGTTACTGCTACCGCCAACTGCGAAGTAGGTAGAGAAATCATAATCCATGCCCAGGCAAATACTCAGATCTGTTATGCCAAATAGAAACGAAAATTATACTGTTTTTAAAGGTGCATTGTGTAACTTTTCCGGTAAAGGGCCCGTCAAATGCTTGTTTCCCGTGGAGATGTTATTGCTTTGTTTGCTTTTCTAAGTATTTTTGAGCTTTAAAACCAGCTGTAATTGAATAAAGGTAAGGAAGAGCTGTTTAAAGTCATACTGTGGAACATTCCAGGCAGAACAGTGACATATCCATAGAAACAAGCAAGTAACAGGACCCCCAACCAAAAAATTACACAGTGTGGATTTTTCTTTCTTTTTTCTTTTTTCTTTTTTTTTTGACAACACTAGCCTCGATTGTTTGTTGTCATCTTTTGGCATTATGGACTTGGACGAATTATGGAATTTATATACTTATATTTCTTGTATTATTTTTTAAATTTGTATATTATTTTATTGATTTTATGGATTCATTTTTTAATGTATGATATATTTAAGTTTTTTCAAAATATAAAATACAGTTTACCTAGAGATAATAATAATAATAATAATAATAATAATAATAATAATAATAATAATAATAATTATTATTATTATTATTATTATTATTATTATTATTATTATTATTATTATTATTATTATTATATCATAAAATCATAAACAATAATCATACAAATAAAATAATAATTATAATCAAACACAGCACAACTCATGGGGTTTAATTTGTATTTATTTATTGCTATTTTATGTGTTTGCTTTTATTTGGCTTTACTGGTTTTAGTGTTTTAGGGCTGGCATTAAATTGAGCATTTATACCCTTTCTTGTTTTCTAATACTTTTTGTTTTTTTAAATGTTATCTTTATATGTGCAGCAATTTGGAAGCTGTTTTGTTTATAAAAATATGTTTTATATAGATAAATAAAAAGGATTTGGATTTGGAAAAGAAATATTTAGGTGCAGAATAAAAGCTCTTAGTTAAGAGGGACAATTTTTGTACCCAATTAAAGGAGTACATACCTCACATTCATTCATTTATAGACAGTTATGTTGTTTTTGAATTCTGAACGTCAATCTCTGTTAATTTTTGACCCCCTGCCAGTCCCAGTCTGTACCAGGTCTGCTCTGGTCCTGTATCGGCCTGGTGCAGAGGATTAAGGTCTAATTGGGTGGAGCGGGGGTGGGTGGCAGTGGCTCCTGAGTGTGAGTGGAATTCCCAGAGACGGCGCTTGGTTCTGGGTCTGTCGGAGGAGTGTGAGGGGGGTCAGTGCTGGACGTGGGCACAGGTCTGTCTGCTTCTGACCCGCCAGACCAGCCTCTCTGTGGGGCAGCTGGTGCGAACTGGGTGAACTCTCAGGAGGGGAGGAGAGGCGTCTGATGTTGAGCTGAAATTGAACCTGCTGTTAAGATAATTTTTTCCATTAGATTTACAATTTAAAATCTCATTGAATTTCTCACTTTGAATTTTTTTAAACTATGAATTATTTTTATTCTGAATGGCATTTGATGAAATTTAAAATGTACATTTTCAAAGTGCTTAAAATTCATTATCAAAAATCAAATAAATCACCTTTTAAATATTCAGCACAGATATTTTAAGTCCTTAAATTCAACAGTAAAAATTCAGAGTGTAAAATTGCAACAAAGATCCAAGATGCCAAGGCAGAAGCAATCGATCCACAGTGATGCAGTCTAATTTCGTAGCAAGCAGGAAATGGTTTAGTGAACCAGTCTCAGTCTGATTGGTCAGAATTAGCCTCATTAATCCATCCATCATCATCACCTTTAATTCTTTAAGTGTAAACTCCACCCACAGATGAGAATGACCAATAGGAAACAGTCTCTGTCCTCCTCACTCACATGATCGATTACTTCTGCCTTGGCATCTTGGATCTTTGCTGTGAAATTTTTCACTCTGAATTTTGCACTGAGGTTTAATCTATCCTGTGTAACAAGCAGGTGGCAGACCCTCCACTGGAAATGTTACACCTTTAATGGAAAATTATTTGGATTGTATTGATAGTTTACCTGCATAGCCAGTCAAGAGTACATGCTTCTCCAGTACTTTACAAAGACATGTCGTTGGGCTGGGTGATTTGGTGATAAAATCGAATCGTTACTATTCCTGTAAATACTATTTGGGTAAAATCGCCACATCTTGATCTACTAAATTTTCTCTTGAATGTAGACAAAGACACCTTCTCCTTCTTAAACCTCCTATTGGTTGATCTTGTCAATGACAAATTGCAAAAGTGTGCATATTCAGAAGAAGCAGATGACTGTAGTCGTCTCTTCAAGGCAATATAAATGTGCTTTAAAAGTAAATAAATGAATGAAAAGTTTAAATGAATTGAAATTGTTATCTGATTGTGGCTCTCAGGGAATCTTATTGCCAAAATCTAAATGAGAGGCATCTGATAATTGGGTCAAAATTTAATCTACTGTTATTGAAAAGTAAAAAAAGTTGCAGTTTTTCAGTTGCATGTTATTGACAGTGTGTAAAGAGATGTATTCTGGACACTGGTTTTATTTATGTAAGTTCAGGTGGGTATGATTGACAGGTGGATTAGCCAATCAGGTACACTCATAGTCTATTCTTATTAAAACAAATGTTACTGCTTACAAGGAAAAAAAACGCAGGGTCTGAAAAACTTTGTGGATTTCAGTAGAATCAGACCTCACCAGACCTCTGCCATTTTTCAGTGAAACAATTCTTGAACCTGTAGATGTGGGCAGTGTGTTATGTTTAATATGGTACCAATTCAAGAAGAAAAAAATGAGTTGGCTTGAAGTTTGCATTGACTAAAACTAGCCCCAAACAAAAAATGCATTCATTCTTTTAACAAATCAACTTAATCTCCTGTTTCCTCCTCTGAGTACACTAACAGTTTTGTGTGTCTGCAGATGTGGACGAGTGCCAGGCCATTCCCGGGCTGTGTCAGGGGGGGAACTGCATCAACACCGTGGGCTCTTTTGAATGCAAATGTCCCGCCGGTCACAAGTTCAACGAAATCACGCAAAAATGTGAAGGTAAGCGCCCTCAAAACCACCGTGACGTCCAAACACGGCTGAGTCTAAGTGTGGGGAGCAATGACAAGGCAGAGTCAACTGGTTTCACATAGAGAGAGGTTAATGAGTGAGTACAAACCCACATCCGGAGAGTTGTGGTGAGGTTAGCGTCACCTCAGTCTGAAGCAGGTTTGAAGGGACAGACCACACGTATGGCTCTTACGGACTCTCCTTGTTACTGTGAACGGTATTGTACAAAACAAGCCTGAATTAACACTGCTAACACTTAAGATCCAGTCATGTGTAATTGTCAATGATTGGCTTGAGTATTTTTATTTTCGGTCCACAGCCAATTATGTGTCAGTAAAGTCTTGTGGTTTGGAGCAGGATTCAGGCTTTGGTGGAATAAACTGAGCTATTTTCTTTTTAAATGTCAGTGATTTAAGGTCTTGCTTATGTTAAATAAAAAAAAAAAAGCTAAAATAAAAAAGTAAAATGTAAAATCAATACTGAAAACCTTTTTTTAATTTAGTTTTTAAATAAAATTTTGTAGTTTCTGTATAGATTCTGTACACCTGACTGTGCGACAGGTGTGTTGGAGGAGAGGTACTTATCTGAGGAAGGTTAATAGGGCCAAAATGTTGTACAAATAAAAGTGAGACAGTGAGTGAGAACCTTCTTATAAACCTTCAGATAAAGCTGAATCAAAATTCAAAACTGATTAATATGTGGAAAGAATCACAGTTTTTTTTCTCCCATATCTCCCAGATGAAAGATGAATTGATTAAAGATGAGTTGATGTATATAAAATTCACTCAATAATAATATTAAATCAACTGCATTAAGAACAGAAGTAAAAATGTACTAGTAGTAGATACTTTTACTTTACTTCATTCATTGAAATAAAGCAGTAGCACAAGCAGTAGTATCAATACACATTTTTATGTATTGTAATAATGTACATCCATCCATCCATTTTCTTCTGCTTATCCGGGGCTGGGTCACGGGGGCAGCAGTCTAAGCAGGGACTCTCAGACTTCTTTCACCCCGGACACTTCCTTCAACTCCTCCGGGGGGACCCCAAGGCTTTCCCAGGCCAGCTGAGAGACATAGTCCCTCCAGCGTGTCCTGGGTCTGCCCCGGGGCCTCCTTCCGAAGGAGCTTGCCCGGAACAAGTCCTGAGGGAGGCGCCCAGGAGGCATCCGGAACAGATGCCCGAGCCATCTCAGCTGGCGAATACTGTACATATTGTGTCCAAATTGGCTATGAAGCTGGAAACTATTGCTATCTTGCTTTTCTTCTAAGTATTTTTTTTTCATTCAAAGTCCACATTGTAAAATCACCACTTTGAGACAAATTCAGGCCAATGCACGCTGTCTGTATTTAATGATAATAAAATATTCTATCTATTACTTACCTGAAAGAACTTGGACTGCACTTTTGGAAAACCAAACAAACAAACGAAAAAACTGTTTTAAAGTTGTGCAGGTGCCCAGAAATACATGCATATGCCAAAGCGCCAAGTGCCAAGTGAGCACAAGGGGAAGTTAACTTTAGACACATAGACTTCCCCCTTTTGTGGATGGAAAACCGGGTAATGCCACTTTTTATGTACCTGTACAGTCTCAGAATTGCCTCCCCAATTAACCAGGTAAACTTTTGAGGTAGAACCATACAGCTTTTGTTTCCTCTTAAGTGTTTCTAGGTGTTAAATACAGTTCACGTGCAGAATACAAGAAATCTTTGACAATGTCCAAGATAAAGTAAGCTTAATATTCATTTAGGTGCAACTCTTTCTCTCTCCTCCAACACTGGAAAACTTCAGGAGACAGCGCACTTCTTTCTTACTGTAATTTGTATATACTTTAAAGTGCAATTTAATATCCTGTGACATGCCCTGTTTCCTCTGACGCTGCCAACAAGAGGCTTTAGTTGCTTTCACAGACATCCCTGCTTCATGTTAGTCTAATTGATCACAGTTCTGTTTTGTAGAAAGAGAATTTGAATTTCAGATTAACGAGGCCTCTCCTCTTTCTCTCTCTCTTCCTCGCTCTCTGTCCTATTCTCTCTATCGCTCTCCCGCTCTCTCTTCCTCAATCACTCTCTCGTCCTGCCTCTGCCATCTCATCTCTGCCTTCTCTTCCTTCCCGCCTCTCTCTCTCCCTCTTTTCCTATTTCTCCCTTCCTTCCCACTTTTCTCTCTCTCCTTATTTCCCCCTCTCTCTCCCTCTCTTACTCCCCCTCTCTCCATCTTTCTCTTTCTTTCCCTCTACTCTGCAACCTCTCTCTCCCTCTTTTACTCTCCCTCCATCTTTCTTCCCCCCATCTCTCCCCCTCTTTTACTCTCCCTCCTTCTCTCTTCCTCTCTGCCTCTTTCTCTCTCCCCCTCCCTTTTTCTCTCTTTCTGTATTTCCCTATCACTCTTGATATATCTCCCTCCCTCTCTCCCTCTTTCCCTCTCTTTCTCTCCCTCTACCCTGCAACCTCTCCCTCTCTCTTTCCCTCTTTCTCTGTCTCTCTCCCTCTCTTTCTGTCTCTTTCCCTCCCTCCTTCTCTCTCCCTCTACCCCCACCCTCGCTCTTTCTCATTCTCTATCATTCTTTCACTCCTTCACTTTCCCTCTCTTTTTACAACCCTCTCTCATTTTCCTATCTTTCTCCCTCTTTCCCTCTCCCTCCCTTTCCTTCTCTCTATTTCTCTCTCTTTCTATCCCACTCTCCCTCTCTCCCTCTCTTTCTCTCCATCTACCCTGCAACATCTCTCCCTATCTCTTTCCCTCATTTTCTGTCTCTCTTTCTCTCTTTCTGTCTCTTTCCCTCCCCCTTTCTCTCTCACTCTACCCCCTCTCTCTTCCTCTCCTGCTACCCTGCAACCTCTCTCCCTCACTTACTCTTTCTCCTCTCCTTTTCCCTCTCTCTTTCTGTTTCTCTATCATTCTTTCACTCCTTCACTTTCCCTCTCATTCTGTACCCCTCTCTCATTTTCCTCATTTCTTTCCCTCTCCATCCCTCTCTTTCTCTCTTTCTATACCTCTATCGCCCTTTCTCTTTCCCCCTCTCTCTCTTTGTCTTCCTCTCTTCCTCTCTGTCTGTGCAGACTTGGACGAGTGCTCGAACATCCCCGGGATCTGCGGTGTGGGGGAGTGCTCCAACACAGTGGGCAGTTACTTCTGCAAGTGTCCCCAGGGCTACTACACGTCGGCGGACGGTTCCAGGTGCTTAGGTGAGCCATCCATCAGGCCGGTGCTTCACATGACACGGCTCTCAGTTCAAATGGACGCGGATGACGTTTCTATGGAAAGTCCTATGATTTATTGACTCACCAGGATTAGTCACGGAAGTCTATATAGGAAGTCCAGTAGTCGAGAAACATGAGGTAGTCTAAGGTGGAGAACACAATAGACAAATGACACTTAATCATAACACACATGTTTCTAGTTCTTTTATAGCCACAAATGTATTTTGTTTAACCTATAGCTGCTCCCTTAAAGTCCTATACGATGCGTTATATTGGCACATTAATCTTGGCATGGAGCATTGTGTTACTTACTGTGTAAATAATGTATTAGAAGACTGAAACATAAAACACACTAGTATAGTTATATGTAGGGATGCACCGATATGATCATGGATAGCGGTGCCGATATTGGCTCAGCTATCGGTCCAAGGGCCTGTTTACATGAAAACGCTTGTGGGTAAAAATGACAAGATATTTAGAAATGCAAAAATCTGAAACCACACTCCAGAGTGGAAAAGTTGAATATGCTCCAGCGTAGCGTTTCCGTCTACACTGCCCAAGACGCAAAACTCATGTTGCGTACACATTTACGTCACATACAGTACACAGAAACATGGCCTGCATACCCAATCGAATTCCAGATACTTTTGCGTCACCGTGTGCATGCAGATTTCCTCCCAAAAACGCTTGTCTGAAATGCAGAATAAAAAGTGAAGATGCAATGCCACTTTTGCATCTTCTGTTCAGACTGTCATCATATAAACAGCCCAAGATATTGGTTCACTCTGTATCTCATTTTGGTCTATAAATTGGTGTAATAAGATGATTTACTGACGAATATTGGCCCAAAACACCTTGATGTTCTGTAGTTTTTTTATATGATGAATACGTTAATATTTAATCATTTGCCATTTGTGTTTAAAGGAAATAAATTATATATTCAATCTATGCTCTGGTATTGGTTCATATCGCAACTCTGCAGATACTTAAAGCTGAAGTATTTACATCGGTACTGGAACGTAAAATGCTGGATCGTGCATCCCTAGTTATATAGTATGTGTATATTATATAGTATATTGTCTATATTCATACATATTCAATATTCAATTCAATATTTGTTACTTTAATCGTAATCAAAATATTCACAGGCATGTTTTAGAGTTTACAGATTGCCATAATTTCATCCAAATTTTCTGAGAAATAAAATATTAGCCCAGGCTTATGAGGATTATAACATGATGTAGTTAGTTTAACACAATGTAAGACCCTATAGATACCTTGATAAAGCTATATTATAGGGTTAGGGTTTATATTTAGTGTGTAGTTTTAAGGATCTTAACTTGAATAAGGACAGATGGCTCGTTCTAATGTGTTAAACTTGTACATATTTCAATTATTCACTATACTGTATTAAGCACCAATCTACGACCTTCGATCAGCCCTCTGCTTTGTCTGTGTTTAGATATATGGCCCTTGATGAACAAAGTTTGGACACCCCTGCCCTATAGGAACAGTCACAGCCATTGATTTCGTCCATTGGTTTCAGTCATGTTTTGCGACTGAATGAAATCAGTTTGTCTTTTCCAACAATAAGCATTGATGAAAACCAAAGAACTGAACCTCAAACCATCTGGCCAATGGGCAAATTCTTCCATTGTTGTTGCTCTGTTCTTGTTGAGTCAGATCTACTTTACAACAATGTTTTGATGTTTTACCTCTTTACAAATTAAGTCTGCAGAAACAACTCTGAATACTATAACTATTTACAATATACTATTTTCTGGTCACAGTGAGTTAGAAAAATCAAAGCAGTGGTGTAGTGTCTGGTTTAAATGCATTAGATTTTCCATTCCGCTTTGGTTTTGGTTTCATTCTTGGCACTAAAAGAAAGAGCAGGTTCCAGTCCAGGGAATGTAGGTCAACCGTTGGACGATCGTTTGTTTTTCCACAACAATCAGATGTGTGCACTTTGAACCAAAAAGAAGTAATCACAGAGAGAAACGAAGAGGCTTTCAGATTAACTAAGAATATTTAAGATTTAATGAGGCTACAGAGTGGACCTTCATTTGAGACGCAGCTGTAGCTCGGTGGTCAGATTGGCAGCCCCACTTCTGTCACTCTACCCCAAGGCAGCTGTGGCTATAATAGTAGTTTACCACCACCACTTTTGGAGTAAGTGAAAATCCTGTTTTTTTATTGAAGGTTTCAGCTTTATGCTCCCACCATTGACTGTATACGTAACTCTGGCTCCAATTGACTTTAAAAAATTGGCACTCTCTCTGTAACTGTTGTCATTTTGGTTTTAAAATCTATTTTAACCTTACACTTTACATCTGATCTAGGCGTTGTACAGCTCCCGGGCCACATACGGTCTTTGGTTTAAGATAATTTGGAATTACAAAAAAAATACATTTTATAGGGATATAACAATAACCCAAAAATCGTGATATCGTATCGTCAAAAGTCACACAATAATATCATGGATTGTCACACTATATTGAATCGAAGTTTTTGGTTTTATAGACGCAACAGCTAATAAACATCGGGAACTACATATCCCATGTTTCATTTCAGTGCAGAAACATGAAGAAACATGTTTTTGGGATTATGATGGAAATAATTCACACCAAAATCTTGTCAAGGTATTTTAAAAGCAAAAAATGTCCCATCTACAATTATATTAGCATCTTCAAAATATCGCAATAGATATTGTACTGTGAGATACATATCGTGATAATATCGTAGATTTGGATATTGTTATATCCCTAACATTTTATAATTTTACCTCATGCATGGACTAAAGCTGCATTGCATTTATTTAGTGGTGTTTTTCTTAAATTACATATTTTGTAGGGCAACCTCACTTTTTCATTGCTTAGTCATAATATAAACTCTTACTAGTCTGACCAGCTCGTCAAAACAATGCTATTTACTCAGTTTTATAAAGAAATACAATTAATATTATGCAGAATTGAGTCAAGCATTTTGGCCCGGCCATCCATAATTTCTGTTTCTCGTGTGGCCCCATGGAAAAAATAGCCCACCCGAGGTTTACATGATACTGGTGTTTTTATTTCACTATTTTGTCCATAAATAAATTCCTATTCCTAAGTATGAAGCTACAAATTCACCCCAATTCACAACTGCTTAGCCTGATCACTGCCTGACCTTTCAGCATTAGGATTCGTTTGGTCAACAGTAAGCGGGTACTTTTTTTATTTAACCAATCACTGCTATTTGGTCATGATGTATGTAATGCGCCGCTAACGGGGCTAACTGGTATATTAAGCTTTTCCCAAATCCTGTAGGAAGAAGGGCAATAACATCTTTCCCCTTGATAAAATTCACCAAACGTTCTCTTTGTTTCGGCTTTAAATCCTCGATCTCGGGAATCGTTGCCAGCACAGAATATATGAGTTTTTGCTGATTGGCTGGTGCCCGAACTTGCACTTCCGGGGTTTTTGCGAACCGTCTAGTTTATTCTAACAACTGCTAGCCTCGTGAGCTTCATTTGACTAGAGCCGCTATCAGGAACATCACACTCCCTTAGTCCATGTGCTTATACAGTCTGTGGTTCACACATTTGTTGGGTTGTGGAAATGGTTAATGTTAGGCCCTGGTTTTAAGGTTATGTTTAAGGTGAAATCCAGAGTGAGTGTGGAGTTGTGGATTTACAAATATATTTTTTAAATGTGAAAACATGGCACATATGCTCCCTTTCACTGGACAGATGTGAGTCACACTGTATTCAAAGTGATGTGGGCTCTGACAGGTACTATTGCTCTCTGCTGTGAGGACTTCAGCTCTGATAAATAATGATGATTATGTCCACACCAAATGGATGAACTGTTGACACTCTTGAATTATGGAGAGTCCAGTTTTTCAAAAAGGGTAAAACATGACGAGGGTGTGTTACAATGACAAAGGCATTGCTCATAGCTAATACAGTGATCGGGCCCTAGTTCTGAACTCCGATAGAAAACTGTCTGGGCTTTCACTGCATGACCCATAAAACCTGTTAAAGATGTAATTCGTAACATTTCTAGAGGAGGGTCCGCCACCTGCTTATCACCATGGAAATGTTATTGCTTTGTCTAGAATGTTCCACAGTATAGATTAAACCAATCAGTCACAAGGGAGATGCACAGTTACAGCACTATGCTACATTACCATTCAGATCTGTGGAGAGGCACCCATATACACAGGAGGAATTAATGTATTTTGGAGCGATAGAAACACTCCTAATAAATAATATTAGATGTTTAAAGGTGTACTGTGTAACTTTTCTGATGGAGTGTTTGTCATATGGTTCTCTCCATGCAGATATTATTGCTTTGTCTGGAATATTTCACAGTATAATATTAAACCCAGAGTTCCCACAGTCATGAAAATCCTGGAAAAGTCATAGAAATTCAAAATGTCATTTTCCAAGCCTGGAAAAGTCATGGAATTTTGTAGGTATTTTTGAGCTATAAAACCACCTGTAATTGAATAAATGTAAGGTAGAGCTGTTTAATGTCATACTGTGGAACATTCCAGGCAGAGCCATGACATCTCCATAGAAACAAGCAGGTGACAGACCCCCTACCAAAAAGTTACACAGTGCACCTTTAATGTCATACCATGGAACATTTCAGGCAAACCAATGACATCTCCATGGAGACAAGAAGGTAGCGGACCCTTCACCAGAAAAGTTACAGTGCACCTTTAAGATTGATTTCTAAGTAGTATATCGCAAAAAACTAAAATCTAGCCAAGTTAAGATGATTTGAATTAAGAAAGTTTTATCATGATTTAAGAAAATTTCACTTGACAAGTAAAATGATCTACCAACAGAACAAGACTTTTTGTACTTAAAAAATGAAAATACATCTTGCTACACTTAAGATAAGAAACTAAATCTAATTTTCCTGGAATTAAGAAAAACACCCTTATTCCATTGGTAGATCTTTTTTCTTGTCAAGTTGAATCTACTCAGATAAAGTCAAATGTTCTTACTGTAATTAAGTCATTTTAAGTTACCCAGATATTGCTTTTTTCAGTGTACAGATCCAACTGTTTCCTCACATATTGCAAATGATAAACGAGAATAACTTTTTGCTGTGATTAGAGCAATTTTTCATACCCATAGTAACTTCTGTTGTGAGTGATCGCATGTTTCTTTTGCTATTGCACAGTCTTTCCCATTGCATGATTTATCGCAACATCAAAATACCCCAAAAACAAGAACTACATATCCAACCACGCCCAGACAAATCAGCAGGGACCATTACAAATCCGGCACGTTTTACTCCATTTGACCCAAAACAGACTCATGAAGAATTTGGGTCAGCGAGGATCATTAATACAACCTCATATTCACATGTGCGTGCGCTGTCTACCCCCCAGAAGAGGATGTTTGTGAGAGAGGAATGTCTGAGGATTTAGCCAGAAATCTCAGTTGCCAAAGATTTCATACAGCCCCCCAAAGCGTATTTTGTTTTGGTTATTTTTAAAGCAACACCGTGTAACTTTTCTAGTAGAGGGTCCACCACTAGTTTTCCTGTAAAGTTCTGCAGTATGGCATTTAATTTTCCTATTGCCATGGAGACAAGCAAGCCAAGTTACAAGTCACTGTGGAGAAGTGGGCCAACTTGTAATGTTGTTGTAATAATGCGTGTTTTTGTGGTAGTTTTGAGAAATAATAAGACACGTAATTCAATAAATACAGAATATATTTGTTAATGCCATACTGTGGACATCACCGTGGAGACAAGCTCAACCTGAAAAGTTACACAGTGCAGCTTTAAAGTAACTCCATGCAACTTTTGAGAGGTGGTGTGTCGCAAAAACGACACATGCTTTTCTACATTTTTTCAGTGCAATGAAAACTATGAAATCTAAAATGAGAAAACTTTTATTTTAATCTATTCTTTGGCTAAATGTTACACAGTGTGGCTTTAAATAGCTCAGCAATGGAACTAAGTGAGTCTAAATCTGAAAAGTGGCTCAGGCTCAAACCAAAGTGTTGATGATTTGATGTCACAATATCAAATTTTAGTGTTATTATTATTACTGAAATCTTGTTTTGTTTTTTGTTTATGCACTCTAGTTTATAAATTACTATTTTTGGGAGTATAAATCAAATAATAGACCACCTTGAGTATGATATGCATGAAATTATAAAGCCGTTTTAAAGCAGACATATTATAAAATCGTCTTTTTAGAGCTTTTACTAATGTTATAGTTGTTTCCTCTCACCATTTACACCCTCAAAGTGTATTTGCCAGGTCGTATTTGGCACTGGATTTTTCTAACACAGAAATTAGTGAACTATTTTCTTTTATTAAGTCGTTTCAGATGATTATTGCAGTTTAAAATGTGCAAAATATAACATAATGATCCATAGGTGTCATAGATTATAGCTGTATAGCACAATAACATCACGTCATCATCCTTAAATTTTGTAAAACGTGAGGGGTTTTACACAGGAACAGAACATTTGTCCAAAAATAAGGTTTAGTTAAAAGTGGACTTGTTTTGTTAATAAAACTTTTTGACACAAACAGTACATGAAGTAGCCTAAGTACTCTGTCTGCACGTGCGTAAGCAGGAAGTACTGACCCCCGTTTGCACTCTCGATTCATCAGCATTATTTATTATTGTCAAGTGTCACCCCTGCTTAAGCAACGCAATAATGAATCTAACCAAATGTTTTTAGTGTCACCACATGGCTCTGCTCAATGGTCCGGGAGTGAAATTAGACATGAAATATTTAAGATAGTATCATGTTAACAGTTAGACACACTCGCGCCGTGCCAAAAATCTGCAGGATGTAACGTTTGACTCTAGGAAACAGGAAGTTATGGCTATTAAAGAAACATCCCTGTAATTACATGAAAACATAAAGCATCTGTGTTCATTGTATCGCTCGCAGAATATGGATCAGTGCGTCTCAAACTGTGGTTTTGGTTCCACATGTTGAACATATGCTTTGAAATGTCTCACAAGGATTCATTAAAATATTTTATAGGTATTGGACAATAGACAGTATGGCCATCTGTCCCATGTCCTACTTATTTTGGGACTGTACAAGTTTTTGATTAATCCCACGTGAGATTTACGTAATTTTTGCAGAGAAATCAAGCTTATTTGGATGTACAGGCGTTTCAAGGTTGTAATATAATGGCACTTTTTGCTCAATCTCTGTGCATTATGATTAATACAAAATGGAAATCATTTGTGGTTATAGTAGTTTAGCTCTGCTTATTCTTTATTTGTCAGAGACCATGTACAAATGCATTAATCTTACAAAAGAAAACATGATTTGTACCAGATTTAGCTACTGCTACTAGCGATCTGCAGTCCATGGGCAGGTGCACACACACTAAAAGTACACATTGTATCCTCCTGGGACCCGAAGAAAAAGTGTACTTCAATATATATATTTTATTTATAATTTTGCAACATGTCCTCTGTAATGGACACTGAGGACATTTTGGTGTTAAATCCATGTGACCTTAATAATTTAACAAAAACATGACCAACATGTCTGACAAGCTTCTACAGTCACCTCAAAAAGGTTTTAGACTCCCTTTTAATTTCTTAATTTTTATTTATTTATTTTTTAAATCATAGTGCAGCCACAAACTAGCTCCTGTTGAGTTAATTTTTTATCCTGGACATGATAGTACCCTATAATCCCCCAGTCCTATTTAAGCAGAGAAACCTAGTCCCCCCATTAAGAGTCTGTGTCAAAACACTTAAAAGAGACTGGTTAACTCAATGTCCAATAGGGGTGTGCAAAAATATTGAAATATAGATATATCATATCATTTAATGTGATGATACAGAATCGATATTGAGCTCTGTTGTATCGATATGTCATTAAGAGTATTTTTTGGTATATTTTACTACATTATTTAGTTACAGCGCTTCAGTTTTGTTGCTTGTGTAGTGGAAGGAAACTCGTTTATGCAACACTTTTGACATTTTCACTGTTTTGGTGATTAAAATGGGCATTTTTCATATTAACTTTGCTCAAGAATTGGTTTAACAAAGACTTTTATTATCACAGCCATGATTTAGCCTTTATCTTTTATCGAACTGTATCTGAATGATTAGAAATGTATCGTATCGAACCAAAAGCTCACTGTATCAAGATATGCATGCTATCGTGGCCTATGTATCGATGTCTGTATCGTATCGGCAACTTCTTAATGATACCCAGTCCTAATGTCCACTATAAAGGACACAAATGAATGGGCCGGGTCTCAGAAGGATATAAAATATCATAAAATGCAAATACAGATGGTTGGTTATGATTAGGGATGGTACAAGATCTCGTGCCCCAAGATTGTGCACACGTGAGAAAAATGATCTTTTTTCCAAGATTTTTTACCAAGTGTTTATATGTTGGATGAAAAAGCGTCATGTGATGGTGAGCTACAACTCTTATAGTTCCAAAAAGCAGTACTGGAATGGAAACAAAAGTTGTGAGGCCAAAATTGGAAACTGAATCGCTAAATTTATTTTAGGAGTAATGTTAAAGTCTTACCTTGTTTTGTCACCTTGATCTCACACTGACGCCGGCACAGAACCTTGCATGCGTGCCATGACCAGACCTCTTGGCCATCATAAAAACATAATTTGGTTATGGGTTAAAACAGGTCTAGTCCTTGTTTTGTCTTTGGTTTAGTTTTGGTTTAGACTGTAGACCTCTGTTTTGGTCTGGGCTTTTCATGGCTTTCGTTGGTAATCCTCGGTTCAGACCTGTTTTAGTCATGGTTTAGACCTGATTTCATTCTGGATTGTGAATCATAGTTCAGTCTTGGTTGTACCCTGAGCTCTTGATTTCCTTTTGGATGACGCTCAAAGGCTCAGTTTAACTATCTTAGATGAATACATAAATAAATAAATATATTTTTAGTCCAGTTATAGTTAAAATTTGAAAAGTTTGTGTCTCCATTTCTGATGTCAAATTATGGAATGATCTGAGCCTAGATTTTAAGCAATGTTAAGAAGAAATATAAAGGAAGTACACTGATGAACTATGAAAATTTTGTTATTTTGTTAATCTATTGAACACTTGAGTTATTGATAAGTAACAAGAAACTTAATTAGGAAAGGGGATGGGATTAAATAATTTCTACTCTTTCCCACTCCTTTTTGGACATTTTTTGAGATCATCTATTATGACTTGCCTTGTGTTTATACATGTTTAAAAAAATAAATTCATTCATTCAAAATTTTAATCACGACAATACAGACCATTGCTGTTTACATTACAGTTTAAGTGTTGCTAACAGTCTTTCTTTACCCCACAGATGCCCGTGGAGGCTATTGTTTTGGCAGTGTTTTGAACGGACGGTGTGCCAACCAGAATTCACAGCTGTTGACCAGAGTGCAGTGCTGCTGTGACTCTGGGCGCTGCTGGTCCGACGGGTCCACGCCCGAAATGTGCCCCATCCGAGGGTCAGGTGAGTGCCCGGGTTAAGGACTGAGGTTTTCAGGTAGGACCATAGACTGTATACATTACCAGACATAGCTAACCTGCAAGCCGCTGCGTTCCAAACATGAAGTGAGCATGGAGTTGCTTCTGGCTCCATCCACACTGGCTACAATTGACTTTACATTGCTAGATTGTCGCCCCTGTCTCTGTAACTGCTGGAGTGAACCTCCTCAGTTTGGTCTTAAAATGTTCATATTAACCCGCTCTTCATGATCCTGGTGTTTTTATTTCGCTATTTTGTCTTTTTTGTGTTTAACTCTTCATTTGAACTTCATTTGACTGGAGCTGAACGCTGTGGGCAACATCACACTTAGTCCACTTCTGTCATACAATCTATAGTTAGGACTAAATATATAGGCTATAATTATTATAGACTAATGTGATGGTTTCCTCTTCATTTTTTCTAGTCTTGTTTTTAAGGGTGACCTATGCAACTTTTCTGAAGGGTATGACTAGAATGTTCCACAGTATGTTAACAAATAAGACCTGGAAAGGCTTTGCTGAAAGCAGACTCATCTTCACAGATTTGACCTGTTGCCCGGCTTGGTGATGTTACCTCTTTGTATCCATGGAGATATATAAATAATATCATCTTATGGGACATTCTGGGCAAAGCAATAATATCTTCATCCCCTTAAAAAAACTTATAGTGCACCTTTAACATTATACTGTAAATGTCTACCACATAAAAAGTCACATTGAATATTCACAGATTTGACAGTATACAGCTTTATATATTTGTTATTTTTTGTTGTAAAGTTTAAAATAATTCCCACTGATTTTATTACATCGATTCTGTATTTTGGTTTAAACAATGAATAAGTCATCTGTAAATCCCTGTAACATTTAGTTTTGCTTTTCATTCACAGAGGAGTATCAGAAACTGTGCCTGCAGCTTCCTGACGTGGTGGCACCAGGTCGGGTGCCGGGGGTTCCAGATGGTCCTGGGGTCTACCCGTACCCGGTGGGTCCACATACTCCTGTGGGACCTGGTCAAATTCCTGTGGGACCTGGACAGATCCCTGTAGGTCCAGGACCGTATCCAGTGGGTCCTGGTCAAATCCCAATCCAAGGCCCAGGACCAGGACAGTACCCACAATTCCCAACACTACCTCTGCAGCCCCCGCCAGGTTAAAAAAAAAATCTCTTTTCTGTTTCAGATGGTATCACACTCTACAGGGCAATAATATTTAATCTTGACAGTGACAGCTCTTCTCTCAAAAATAGAAATTATCAAATTCAACATTTGTGAATATACCTATTGAATATTTCATGGCAAAGCACAATGTAAATAATTGGAAAATCTGTCTATTAGTACACCTTCACATTCTAGTAAAAATACCAATTCTGTTGCTCACATGGGATGGATAGTTTAAGATAAACCTTTTGTCTAAGAATATATTTCTCTTGAGTATCCAAAATATTCTTCAGTTTTGTTTTATAGTTTTGGATCCCCATTAGCTGCCCATTTAATCGTCGCTAGTCTTTTTGGGGTCCTCTTAAAAATGGCCATTACCAATAGACATTAGTCATACATTTACAATACCAAGAATAATATAAAAGTCTTACAGTAATAAAACTATATTTAGGATAAAGTGAACCTGTGTGGATAGGAAACAATTGCTTTAACCTTTTTTTTTTTTTTTGCTTTATACAGTGTCTGCCATGAATTGGTGATAGCATGTGCTTATTGTCTTCAGGTCCTGTTATTATCCAAACCCAGAACATCACAAACATGTGCCAGGCCTACAGGAACCTGTGTCTGAACGGCAGGTGCATCCCTGTCCCCGGCTCCATCGGGTACAGGTGCGAGTGTAACATGGGCTTCAGGCTGGACGGGCGTGGGGAGTGCATCGGTGAGTCTAAACAGTGAAATACATTTAAATGAACAATATTTAGGGCAGTATTTCAGATTTGAATCAAGATCAAGAGTCATTCAGTTATTAATTTTATGCTTGGGTCCTTTTAATCGAGAGCTCTACAGACTCTTGATACATTGATAAAAATGACCAGAGTGTACAGCATCCTTTCATCCATTCAAACCAGACATAATAAAAACATGTTAAAACACAAACCTCATAAAATTATCATGTTTTAGTTAGAGAAAATATAACTGAATCAAAAATCTAGGTAAAAGTATTGATGTAAAAGGAAATTATATGTACACAGACAAACTTGCTGTTGTAAAATTAATATGAAATGGACCTTGTGTGTGATTTTGTCTGCTTTTTTGTTTTGTAGATGAAGACGAGTGCGAGAGGAGTCCCTGTGTTCATGGAGAATGTGTGAACACCCCTGGGTCATACATCTGTCAGTGTCCAGTCGGATTTCAGACCACGGCCACCAGGACTGAGTGCAGAGGTAAAAGCCAAAGAAACACACAAAGAGATAGGCCTGTCACGACAGCAAAGTCTGAAGTACCATATATTGGTACAGGATAATCCCAATGAACCCTTTTTTAAAATACAGTATCATTAAAAAGCATGAGCTACACCAAACAAATACCAGTAGTTAGTCCCTGGAAGTAATTTTTTCATCCCTCTACAACTCAATTTTACCGTATTACATGAAAAATACCAGACACCATCCCACTATTGTAACAAAAATATGCACTTGATAAATACTGACCCCAAAATACATTGTTCCAGCTTTCATATACTGAAAGATAAGGACAGGCTGTTAGAGTGGTATTTTCATTATTTAAACCTAGTAAGTTAATCTTGGAAATAACAAAAAGAAGTTCCTATAATTTTCCTGTCAATACTCTGCCAAACCAATTTTAACATTTTTGGTTTATTGTTTTCATTTATGATTTACACTCTTTTATTGTCTTCATTTATTTGTGTAGCACTTTGGAAACTGTCATGTTTATAAAATGTGCTATATAAATAAAGTGGATTGGATTAATAGTTTTTAGATTAACTAAAATGGAACTAAAGTAAGACAGAAATTAAGATATTTTCGTTCACTAAAAGTAATGATTTTTGTCTTTAACACTGCTGCTAAAGGCTGAACGCTGAAAAGACTCAAAATCATCCTCGTCTTGAAAATACTACAATATATAATTAAAAGTCTTATATTACAAAAAATGACTCTTTTGAGCTTTTAGCCATGTTAGAATGTTGTTACCTCTTCAAAAACATACCTGGAGTTGTGTTTTGTTTTATTCACACATTTTTGAGAAACCCTTAGTCTGTCTTCATCTCCAAAGCTCAAAATGCTCTGTTCCACCTTGTGATGTCATGAAGCAGTAGTTTTCAAGTTTACAGCAACTTGTTGCCTTTAGTTCAGAAGAGATTGGAAATTCCAGAGCTGAAATGATCCAAATGATTCTAGCAAAGGTGTAAGTGTCTAAAAACTCAGTGGAGCATTTCCTGTATTACCGCATGACATCACAATGTGGAACGGAGTGTTTTCAGTTTGAGAGAAGAACTCAGTCTAAATATACAGAGTTTGTGGGTTAAACATGTGTAAATGAAAAAAACACAACTCCAGGTATGTTTTTGATGAGGAAACATTATAACATACTGTAGATCAGAAAATAACGTAATATAGACCCTTTAAATAGATCTATATTTTCAACTAACTATTTTGCAAATTGCTTGTTTTTCCCAAATCACAGATCCCTAATTTCCCAGAGTAACTCATGGTCAGATGGAAACTGTAATATTAGATAAGGCCATGGCTCAGCTTCACAGTGTGCTGACAGGAAATGTCTGTGTCGTTGCCAGATTTGGACGAGTGCGTGGCGAATGGGCGCATCTGTAACAACGGGCGCTGTGTGAACACTGAGGGGAGCTTCCACTGTGTGTGCAACGCCGGCTTCGAGATCTCCACAGATGGAAAGAACTGTCAAGGTCTGTCAAAGTTTAAGTTTCGCTCAGAGCCAAGATTCATATTTGTACAATTGGTCTGTTCATTGGAATCAGTGATATGATGTTTTAAAGCTGCAGTATGCAACTTTTTGGTTGAGGATCCATCTACTAGTTGTTTTGATGTCACTGTTTTGCCTCGAATATTCCACAGTATGACATTAAATAGTTCTACATTACAAAATACCTAGAACAGCATACATTCTGACTGTGAGCAGGGTTGCCTCTCCACAGATCTGACCTCTAAGTTGGTCTGGTTTGGTCTCCATGAAGATAGAAAGATTTAACGCCATACTGTGAAACATTCCAGACCAAACATTTGTTCATGGACAAAAGTATTTGACAGATCCTCCACCAGAAAAGTTACACAATGCACCTTAAGTTTCATTCAGAGCTGAGATTCATATTCAGTGGTTTCAGGACATGATGTTTTAAAAACGTTTTGGTTTATTAGCCCATTCAGAAGATGTAATATTTTGATTTCAAATGATCGGTTTTGAGGTTAATAGCTTAGTCAACAGTCCAGTCGTGAAGGCCAGACCTTGGAGAGACAGTCCTTTGTGCTTCCTATTCGAATGTAGAGTCACCTGGAAAAACAAATAATTAGACACTGATGTAAGAGTTCAAAGGATTCTTATACGAGACTTGAACATGTTGACATATTAGTCATGTTTCTGCATTACTTAACATAGGAGTAATGATAGAGGTACGTGCGTGTGTCTTTCATTAAGTCAGAGTTTAGTTTATTAGTGTTATGCTAAATTAATATTATTTATAATATTGTCTGAATATGTATTTTGTTTTATTTATTCAATGAGTTCAAGTTAGTACATATTTAGGCCTCTCCAGAGTAAAAAAAAAAAGCTCTGTTCCACCTTGTGGCGTCATTTGGTGCTAATAGTAAAAGCACTTGCACCAATGCTGTTTTATCTGTCCAGAAATCGGTGCTGAAATATGCATTTATCAAACATAATTTTTATCTGTGAACCTTGCAATACTAAGGGTGCATTCATTCACCTTGTTTGGTCCTTTATTTCTGCTTTAGTCCTGGTCTAGATCCATTTTTAGCATTTTAGTCTCACAATCATTATTTTAATGTGGTTACTGTGAAAGTGTAAACGCACCCTGAAACTAAGAAGTGCTTTGTGTTGCATTTTTTGTATGAAAAGCACTCTATAAATAAAGTTTGATTTGATTTGATAAGATGTCCAGATATTAATGTGAATAACATGAATATTGCATCTCTTCTCTCACCGATGTTGGGGAGAAACTACATACGTGTACCGAGAATACATATTCTGTATAATAATTTTGAGTATAGTAACTGTATTCAAGTATAGTTACAGTTATATCTGGTGGTTACTTTTTTTTTAAATCAAAGGAATACTTGACCACATAATTTGGACTTCAAACTGCACGTTATCAGTGAGGAAAAACAGAAAACACTGTTCTTGTGCTTTTTTGATTTTTACTTTTCTGGTTAGTGCTTGGGATCGTTTTAAACTGTGAAACAAATATGAGCAGTTTTTGATCTTATGCTGTATGTTTACTCTATATTTTAAATGCAACTCTGTGTAAAAGTATTCTAAGTATTCAGAACACAGTATTCTGATTGGACCATGTATCAGAATATGTTACAAAGTACATTTTAATGCAGGTATTTTGTATTCTGTAACTAAATACATTCTGAAAGTGTTCTTCACTGTCTCCCACAGACCAGGACGAGTGTCTGATCCGAAACATGTGCTTGAACGGCCTTTGCATAAACGAGGATGGGAGCTTCAAGTGCATCTGTAAACCCGGATACCTGTTGGACACGAGCGGGCGCATGTGTGTCGGTGGGTCCATGAACACATCACCGCACTTTATAGAGCGTGCACAATCCTCACTGACTGCATCATTACATTGGTCTGGGGCCAAATGCTTCCTCTGACCCTTATTCTCAGCTTGTAACGGCTATACTCTCTGGCATGTAAGCGAGCACGCCTTTGCACTCTGCTCGAAAATCCCCCCGAAAATCTGCTGGAAAACCCCTGGACGTCCTGGCAGAGCAGCTGTGCATGTGAGGAGAGGGGCCGCCTAGAATTAAAATCACAAACTAGCCCTACATAAAGTTAAAGTGCATGTGATGGGTTTTTATGTTTTATCTTATTATTGCAGTTTGGTGGGGTAAGGCGAGTGGTACAGACTAGTAGTAGTAGTCTGTAGTTTATTCGGTCATTTTACAAAAGAAAAGAAAAGAAAACAAAACAAAACATAGACTAAAATCCCATAGATCATGACCGAAAGGTTTTAGGCTGAAGTAAAAAGTACTTATAATGCCAAACCCTATTAAATAATTCCAAGAAAAAATAGCAAATGCAAATTACAATATCACTTATGACTTGCTGTATATATAAGAGGCAAAATATAAATTAAAACTAACATAATTTAAGGCATAATTCATTCATTCCAGAGAAGAGCCCTGCACTCGCGGGACCTGACACAAAACAGTGCTGCGCAGGATACATTTTGAAAGCTCACTGCGGGCGCGGGCAGGTGCGATGATAAACTGTTATCCCGCAAACTAAATATGAATGTAAAGTTAAATATACAAATGATTAATGTGTGCCTATCATGCATTTTGTGCTGGATGTTTTATTTGATATTAATAAAAACATTTTAGGCAATCTAAACTTGGGGATGTGGTCTAATCTCGCGCACATTTTTGACAATTCCTTTCCGCTTCTCCGTGTTTGATAGAGCTTAAGAAAACGAATGTCCCCATCTTGCGGCACTTGCAGGCGGGAATGGGACACAGTATCACAGATGTGGGCTAGCCTGATTCATCAGCCCTTTTCATTTTGTAGAAACCGTTTTATCTCGCAGCATTAGAATTCGTTCCCTCGACAGTAAGCGGGTACAATTTTCATTTAACCAATCGCTGCTGTTTGATCGTGATGTATGTAATGCGCCGTTAACTGGGCTAATTGGTATATTAAGCATTTTCCCAAATCCCATAGGAAGAAGGGCAATAACATCTTTCCCCTTGATAAAATTCACCAAACATTCTCTTTGTTCCGTCTTTAAATCCTCGATCTTGGAAATTGTTACCAACACTGAATGTATGGCTCTTCGCTGATTGGCTGGTGTCCGAACTCGCACTTCTGGAGTTCCTGACCTAGTCGCCAGAGAGAAATGAAATTGAGCAGAGGCACTAGGTGGCACCAGCCTGGCTAGATGTGGGTGGGAGCGGTACTGAAAATTCGATTCCGCGCAGACCTCTTTTCCAGAGCTCTATATCTTTCAAAACATAATGCTTTATATTCTTTTTTAAATGCTTCTACAGTGTTACACTTTTCTAAAATCATCACTCAGTTATTCCATATACTCACCCCTCTAACAGAAACACAATCACTTTATTTCTTAGTTCTTATCTTCACAAAGACTAATGAAAGTAGTTTTACACCAGTTAAAGATGTATTTTCTAACTTTTCTTCATGGAGCTCTTATTGCTTTGTCTTGAATGTTTCACAGTATGTCATTAAATATATCAATCTGCATGGAGACAAGCAAAAGATGCCACCAAAGTATTGATTAGATCTGTGGATAGGAGACCCCTGTAAGAGTACATGTTGTTCAAGGTATTTGTGAGCAATAAAAATACCTGTAATTGAAGAAATGCAAAAAATATAATGCCATATTGTGAAACATTATAGAAAAAGCAAAAACTCCTCTTTCGAAAAGTTTCATCGTGCTCATTTAAGCAAAATAAGTTGTCTAACCTGTCTTATGCACTTTAAATGGAAAATCATTTGGCTGTCTAATAAAAGTCTATGCAGAAATGCCATGTTAACGTTTGGTCCGTGAAATCATTAATTGAGGAAAATTAATGACTATTTCATATATTTAAAAAAAATTTAAAAACGCGTCTTTGCCAACTGAGCTCTGGGTCCACAGCCTTGATCTCAGTCTCTGGCTCGGTTTTGTGGTCCAAAGTAAACAAACAGGAGACGAGGGTGTGGAGCGTGTGCTGATGTCTACAGTCATTTGTGAAATAGGTTTTCTTAGGGGACTTGTGGTTTGAGTGTTTCTCTGGATCCTTCAACACGCTTAGACAAAACAAATCATTACTTCAACAGTTTGGTCCATGCCAGCTGTGCATTTAGGAGACAGAGAGAAATGAAAGAACTAACTCAAAGCGCGACACGGTGGTTCAGGTTCAGGCTCACTGTTCAATTTGTTCCAACGTTGAATAATTGGTTTGGGAGTAATTTAGTGTTGATCTTCAGTGAGACAGAAAATGAGGAGCTGGAGTTGAGTTAGTTACAATGTATTCACCGTGAATTTGGCAGCAATCAAAAGCCATTTACAATAGATCCAAGACCAAAAAAAAAAACAAAACTTGCCATGCAACAGTGAACTTAGGCAGGAACAGGAAATCACGTGACTGTGGTAATGTTCCAAAATGGCAACTTGTTCGACTCTGGAGCTCATCAAAGTCCGGTCTTTTATTTCCAAACGATTGGGTATTCATGCACAAGGATGCACTGATCCAACTTTTTCATTTCTGATACAGATTCCGATACTATGGCTTTAGGTATCTCCCAATACATGCATCCCGAATTTTGGACTTCCGGTCATTGCACAATGCATACTGGGAAGGATCCTTCGAAAAAGTGAGCATCAAATCGCCATGTTTGATTTCCCAGTGAGATGCGTCTCTTGTCAAAGCCAATCTAGTTATGGAATTCAGACATCGTAATTGTGCAGTTGTTGGATGTCCTAACAGCAGAAAACGGCACAAGAAATGGGCTTCGGAAGTTTGTGAACTCCATAACTGCAAAAGGGAATCAGATCTGTGTGACTGCAAACCTCCGTTCGAGAGTTTGCAGCGAACATTTTGTATGTGGAGCACCAACAAAGCAAAATCCCGTTTGTTAAGCGAGAGGTACAGCAGACAAACAGGCTGAGCTCGCACTTTCTTGTTCGACTGACTTTATAGCAACATCATGTCTTGGTTGCTTTGCAGTGGAAATTGTTTCTCGGTGAACAGCTGGCGCCTTTCGCTTTGGCATTGACTTCTTAAATTTGTAACCAAGGTTGAGTGAGGGATCGAGGTTTTGCTCGGTTGGTGCTTCACATACAAAATGTTCACTGCAAACTCGGGATGATTTCTCAGGCAGCCAAAGGCTTTTTTCATCCTTCCTGTGTATCAATACTGCCCATCTCCAAGTTTAGATTTAGATTTTTTTTTTGTTTTTGCTGTAAAACTCTTTTTGACTGACCAAGGACTGAGCCAATTATACCGATAGATGAAACGGGGTTAGAAGCATGAATTGAGACAGAAAACTCAAAAAAACTGACCTAAGCTGTTACGCTAATGAGACCTGCCACGCGCTACTAGGACTTTAACCTTAGTCTTTACCTTACTAACAAATGTATTAAAAATCTCTCTGTGTGTTTCAGATATTGACGAGTGCGAGTCGCCGGGGATGTGTATGAACGGACACTGTGTGAACACTGAGGGCTCCTTCAGGTGTGAGTGTATGGCTGGGATGGCAGTGGGCCTGGACGGGCGCATCTGTGTCGGTGAGTCACTATATTCAACAGAAGAGCAGGGGCATTCTGGGAAATACTATTACTAAAATAATACTTCTGCACTTTCCAGTTAATTTATTACTCAGTGTACAAAATATTATGACCAGAATTGATTTGATTCATATTTTGAAATATTATACTGTTTTCTCATCTATTTTATGATGTTGTTTCCTCATCAAAAACATACGTGGAGTTGTGTTTTGTTTCATTCACACATGTTTAGCACGCAAATCTTCTTCCACCTTGTGATGTCATGTGGTAATACAGGAAGTACTGCACTGTGTTTTTAAACTCCATACACTTTCACTAGAATCATTTGGATAAGTTCAGGTCTGGGATTTACAATCTCTTCTGAACTGAAGGTCAAAGGAGCTGTTGAATTGAAAACTACTGCTTCATGTCATCACAAGTTGGACCAGAGGTTTGGAGGTGTAGACCAAGCTCCTGGGTCTAAAAATGGCTGCCCGTTCAAATCAATAGGCTGAGCTCAATGGCGCATGTCTCCAGATTAACCTACCCAGGCCAGGAGCATTCAGTGGCTCCCTGCCCATTGAACACGCTGTCTGTTGTCTTAAAAAACATGTTTCTTAAGACAAAAGATGGATTTTGAGCTGAGAAAATAGGTAAAAATTGCCACAAAATCTGACCTTTTTGAAAGCCGTAGGTGCCTCGTCAGCCGAACATGAGCAGTTTATGATTACATTGCCCTCTATGAGAAAAATTAATTCTGGGCAGGAGAGATTTTTCCGCTGAAGTTCCAGTGAGCAGCCACTACGCCAACTCAAGACAACTACAAGCAGCAATACTCTATCCAGTTATTTTAATAGATCCATGATGTAGACAGACTAATAATAAAAGATTACTATGTTCATGAAACAAAACACAACTCCAAGTATGTTATTGATGAGAAAACAACATTATAACATTATAACATGGCATAACCATTAATTCTGCATAATGTAGGACCTTTAAAATGAAGTTTCAGTGATTTCAGATTTTATAAACACATTTAGGACGATTTGAGCACATTGAGAAATTACTAAAATATTAACAGCTGAACTATTAGAATAATCACAGAACATGTTTGGAGAGTGTTAGCAGCCTGTTTACATAATAAGACCCAATGAAGATGTGTTTGTATTGTTTATAGAGGAAATTATCTTCTCTAAATATTTACAGTGTTTGTGGTTTACTAATTACAACTATTTGAACTGTAATTTCGTATGATAACGATTAGTCTTGCAGCTCTATTAAACACTGCAAAAAGAACAGTTAGTTGTATTAGCTGAATGCACATAGAAATTAAACGGCCTGTATTATGATATTTTCTTCGTTATAATCTCATCAAGAACATACTAGGAGTTGTGTTTTGTTTTGTTCATGCATGTCTAACACACAAACCTGCCCTTCCATCTTGTGATATCATGTGGCAAAACAGGAAGTGCTCCAATTTGTTTTTAAACTCCATACAGCTTCATTAGAGTCATTTGGATCATTTCAGATCTGGATATACCGAACAATTAAAGGTAAAAGATAGCTGTTATCTTGAAAACTACCATCGAAAACCGAGATCACAAGGTGGAACAGAGCATTTTAAGCTTTGAAAATGTAGACCAGGGATCTCCAACCTTTTGCATCCAATGAGCTACATTTAGAAAACGAAAATACCGAAAAGCTACTAATTTTAGCGATCGCAAGAGATTGAGTGGATATAAGTTGGCGAGCCTTAGATGCTGTACAGTTAGATGCTTTAAAACGTAAAACCACAGAGTTCCCACGGTCATGGAAATCCTGGAAAAGTCATGGAAATTGAAAATGTAATTTTCCAAGCCTGGAAAAGTCATAGAATTGTGTAAATTCAATGAAAGTTTTGGAAGTTTTAGTATCTCTTTTACGCAACTACAGCGTTCTCTTAAGTTCTCATTAGGCTGATTTTTCATATGCACCGTTTGTTTAAAAGAGACGACAATAAACGCACTGACAGTGTTTTGAATGTTGAAAAACTATAATACCAAACCACAAGGTGAGTGGAAAAGGGTTAACATTTCATATTTAGCCCTAAAATTATGCTCAATTCTAGACATGTAGGGTGCTGTAAAGTCATGGAAAATTAACATTAGGTCATGAAAAAGTGAACTCTGAAACCATTAGCCTTTTATTAGTGTACAAAGTTCAAAATACCACATTTACAATGGTAATTAATCTAATTTGAGTTATTCAGTATAATACATAATTCAGAAATCCTTTGGTGAGCTACTTATAACAGAGTGGAGAGTTACTGGTAGCTCCCGAACTACAGGTTGGAGACTCCTGATGTTGACAGACTAATAATAAAAGATTGCTCAAACGTGTGTGAATGAAACAAAACATTCCAGGTCTGTTTTTGATGAAGTAACAACATTTTAACATGGCTTAAAGCTCATAAGAGTCAATTTTGTGTAATAAAATCTATAATTAATTGATATGAGGCGTTTCTTTCAACCTTGTTTTCAGTGTTTTGACTCTTGCATTTTGCACAGTCCAGCAGCCACGACATTTTCCCACTTTTCCCATTGCCTGCAAATGATCATTGTGCTTTGTGTATTGACTTGTTTGCATTACATTTGCCAAGATGATCTCAGTCTAGAAAAATGCATCAAATTCTTACATATTCCACACAACAGCAGTTTATTTGTGCCCATGTTGTTTATCCTGCCCAATTGCCTTGCCTTTTTCAGCTTAACGTGGGACTAAACACCTAAACCCCACTCACAACCACATTTCACATAGAGCTGCTTAAATGGGCAGTACCTGGAGAACTAAAGGGGAAGAGTAAAAAAGTGAGGGGAGAGGAGGAGGAGCAGGGTCTGGGGGTATAAGGAGCAGTGTGATTGGTCAAACAGGTACCCACGCTTCAAACTCCGCCCCTGCAGCCAGATGTTTGTACTCAGAAATACCAGGCTATAATCTGGACAGTCTTTTGTGATGTCACCAACTACTGGAAAATGGCCACTGAAGGCAGCACAAACTTACATTTAAGTGTTTTTAGGTGTGTTTCAGACCAGAAAGCTGAAAATGTACTTAGTTAGTTTGTATTAAAATAGCTAAAAAGGATTAAGTGCAGTAAATAATGCTATTAAATGTCCTATATTACATAAAACTGACTCTTGTGAGCTTTAATCCATGTTATAATGTTGTTACCTCATCAAAAACATATCTGGAGTTGTGTTTTGTTTCATTCGCACATGTTTGATTGTAGGGGTGTGCAAAAATATTGAAATATCGATATATCATATCGTTTAATGTGACGATACTGCATTGATATCTTGAGCTGCTGTAGTATTTTTTGGTATATTTTATTAAATTATTTTGTTACAGCGCTACAGTTTTGTCGCTTGTTTAATGGAAGGAAACTCTTTTACGCAACACATTTGACATTTTCAGTTTTAATGATTAAAATGGGTGTTTTTCATATTAATTTTGCACAAGAAGTGGTTTAACAAAGACTTTTAGTATCACAGCTATTGTTTAGCCTTTATTTTTTCATTAAACCATATTGAATCGATTTGAAATATATCGTACTGAATCGAAAGTGCACTGTATCGAGATATGTATCGTATCGTGGCCTATGTATCGAGGTATGCATCGTATCGGCAACTTCTGAATGATACCCAGCCCTATTTGAGAAACCCTTTATTATTAGTCTGTCTACATCTCCAAAGATCAAAATGCTCTGTTCCACCTTGTAATGTCATGTATAGGGCTGGGTATCATTCAGAAGTTACCGATACGATACATACTTTGATACACAAGCCACGATACGATACATATCTGGATACAGTGAGTTTACGATTCAATACATATATTTCAAATCGATTCGATACAGTCCAATTAAAAATATTAAATTATGGCTGTGATACTAAAAGTCTTTGTTAAACCACTTCTTGTGCATAATTAATATGAAAAACACCCATTTTATTCATCAGAACAGTGAAAATGTCAAATGTTTCACCTAGACGAGTTTCCGTGCTCTGAAAAAATAATAAACTGTAGCACTGTAACAAAATAATTTAGCAAAATACACCAAAAAATATTCTTGACAATATTATCAATACAGCAGCCCACAATATCGATATTGTATCACATCACATTAAACGATACGATATATCAGTATTTCAATATTTTTGCACACCTCTAATCGTGTAGTGGTAGTTTTCAAGTTAATAGCGTACTTTTACCTTTAGTTCAGTAGAGATTTGCAATTCCATGATTCTAGCGAAGGTGTATGGAGTTTAAAAGCACAGTGGAGCATTTCGTGTATTACCACATGATGTCAGAAGGTGGAACAGTGCGTTAAACATGTATGAATGAAACAAAACACAACTCCAGGTATGTTTGTGATAAGGAAACAACATTATAGCACAGAAAATAGCATTATATATCCTCTTTAAAACACCATATTCACAGTTTAGTAACAAAAAAAAAGTAGATTTAGGGTCTAGTTCCTCTTTAATGTCTCACCTCAGTTCTCACACACTGTTTTGATTTTGCTTTTTGGTGCAGACACACACATGCGCAGCTCCTGTTACGGTGGATATAAGCGAGGCCAGTGTGTCAGACCGCTGTTTGGGGCAGTGACCAAGTCCGAGTGCTGCTGTGCCAACACAGAGTATGCCTACGGAGAGCCGTGCCAGCCCTGCCCGCCACAGAGCTCTCGTGAGAAAACCCAAACTAATACAATCCCACGTCCCTCTTGCACACGAGTCGAAATTAAAACATATTGGTTAGAGTATATATGACAGGTTTGAGGTTTTTCTAATTATTACTGGGTTTTGTGGGGTGGTATCTGTGGTAAATAGTTATTCCGTTAAACAGTTAAGTGGTAGTTTGTGGAAAAACTTTAAGAAGAAAAGTACAAAAATACAGGAAGTAGTGGTAGATTTTCAAAAGGAATACCTCTACCAATGTCATCAACACATCTTTATGTCATCCAAAATTTAGGGACAGGCATTTTTATAGCATTTTAAACATAAATGAAACTAAATATAGGTGTTATAATCTCCTTTTATTCATTTAATCATAACTTTTGTGTAATTTACTCAGGTTATGGCTTGTTACCTAGCAACATTATTGTTGCTAGGTAACACTGAAATCAACCAAAAAGTAAAAGTAAAATAATAAACTTCATCAAAATTAAATAAAACTGGGAAGATTTTATTTTTTTTTTTTTTTGTAAAATTTTAAATATAATGATGTTAACTACATTTTAGTGAAATTAGTAACAAATAAAAAAATTTAAATAGTAAATGAAATGTAAAAAAGTAGTGTATTTATGTGTTAGTGTCTTAGTGTTTTGCATAATAATAACATGATCTCTGGTTCATTTCCTTGACCAGATCAGCATATAAGAAGCCAATTTACCTTACACACTTCTCTTAAGTCTTAGTTTTATTTCACTTTAGACACAGCAAGTAATACACAACAACTTTCATAATTTAGCTGATTTTTTTTTTGTCAAATGCTTTTCAATAAATTATTTTCCATCTGTTTCTGTTGCAGCTGAGTTTTTGGCCTTGTGTCCCAACGGAGGAGGCATCACTGGCGATGGGAGAGGTAAGACAAGAGTTTGTCATTTGAATAAAACAACCACATTTTTTACACAACACTGTCATTTTATGATCTCAGTGGGGGTATCCTGGTTGAGTTAATACAATAAATGTAATCAATGCAATATAATAATACATGTTTTTGTTTGCAGATATTAATGAGTGTGCTCTCGACCCTGACCTCTGCCAGAATGGAGTGTGTGAGAACATGATGAGAACCTATAAATGCACCTGTAATGAAGGTTTTGAGGTCGACCTGACAGGCAAAAACTGCATAGGTGAGTATGACTGCAATGTTTGTAAGAATTATTACGGAGTCAATATGGGTAATGAGATGAACAGAAGACATCATTCAAAAGAGTATCATGCTTATTTTTGTACAATACGGCAACTCAAAATGATCTTTTTAACAAATTCATGTCATATTTACATCATATTTTAATTCATAATAAAAAACAAACAAACTTACAATAACTTTTCAGTTGAAGCTTTTTTCAAGGAATATATGTCATGGTCATGTTTTATGTTATGAAATGCCTCAAGAATATAGTTGTTGTTGAAATAAACGACTGTTATTTTGTAAACAGTAGAGACAGGGAGCTGCAGGGTGCGGTTCATTGAGAAAAAAAAAAAAATCAGGCACTTACTTACTTACAAAATATTCAAAAGCCTTTATTGTGAGTGGGCAGGAAGCATTCAAAAACACACCCATTATTATACACTGTTATTTTGTTTTTCATAATCACTGTTGTACATGGCATTGTATATTATATTGCAACGACATTACAAATGCTTACCCACAATCCTTCAGGACACTGTTTAAATCTTTCCTTGTCCCTCAGACATTGACGAGTGTTTGATGAACCGGCGTCTGTGTGAGAACGGTCTGTGCAGAAACACTCCGGGCAGCTTCACCTGTCAGTGTCCCAAAGGATATCGCTTTGACCCCAACACCGACGTCTGTGAAGGTCAGATTTATTTCAACCATACATATTTTTTAATCATACTATAGGACAGGGGTGTCAAACTCATTTTGGTCCAGGGGCCGTATCCAACCTACTTTGATCCCAAAGGGGCCGGATCAGAAAACTCATGGCATATATAAAAACAAAAATTGCAATAAGTTCAAATATTTGTGCAGAGAAATTCAAATCTATTACAGAAATATTTTTTAATTGATGAAATCTTTCTTTTGCAAAATATTATGATATTATGAACAACCTGAAACTAAAAAAAAAAAAAAAAAAATGCAATTCAACACAATGTTTTAACATGAAATTGTATGCAAATAGGAATAAGTCTATTTTTCTTGGAAAATCCTGCACTCGGCGTCCACTTTTCTCATTTTAGACATTTTTCTGATGTCCTTTAAGAGCGTTTGGCAAGAGCCAAGTCTTCATTTGTGCTGCTCTGGTGGGAGGGGCCACGCACAGAGGCGCTGGCGATGCTGCTGTGCTAAGCATCGCAGAAAATTACCAACATTTTAATAAAAAATATAATTAAAATATTTTAGCAGAAAATCTGCCGAGGGCCAGATTAAAGGTCTTGGAGGGCCGGATCTGGCCACCGGGCCGTATGTTTCACACCTGTGCTATAGGATATTATTTTGGCTGCCATGCTTGAAAAAAGAATACTGAACATCATATCCTTACTTTTGTAGATAATCATTGGCTATTTATTTTGTAAATGTCTTTAATTGGCTCATTACTTGTAATATATTTCAAGACTTTGTCATTTTTTTAGTTCTTTTTTTCTTAATGTATTTGGGCCTGTACATGTTAACAAGCCGCTTTTGTGAATACAGCAGATTTAGTTTAGATTTACTTTCCATGCACAGTCCCAGTTCTTTTCCATTATCCAAACAAACTCACAGTATTTAGAAGTCACAGATAGCTGTTATATGCAAATAAAAACAACTCAAATCACATGCATATGCACAACAACAAAAAGTACAGTGTAAATTATAATTTGTTTTTATTTCAGATGTGGATGAATGCACGTCCAACCCCTGTATCAATGGAGACTGTATGAACAGTCTGGGCTCCTTCGTCTGTCTCTGTTCTGCGGGTAGCACCCTGGACAACACCAAACTCGAGTGCATAGGTAAGAAATCATTTATGCAGAGCTCAAATTAAAAGTGCACTGTGTAACATTTCTATTGGAGGGTCCGCCACCTGTGTGTCTCCATGGGAATGCTATTGCTTGGTCTAGTAAATCCCACAGTATATATTAAACCAATCTATGACGAGGGAGACGAGGAGGTTACAGCACTACATTACAGTTCAGATCTGTGGAGAGTCGCCCTGTTCACAGAAGGAATTGCTGAGTTTTGGGTCAATAGAAACACCTGTGATGACTAAATGCTAGATGTATATGTTTAATGTCATACCATGGAACATTTCAGACAAAGCCGTAATATCTCCATGGAGACAAGCATCAATACAATGTTTTTTGTTTTTTTTCCAGAGACGACCAAAAGCACGTGTTGGCTGAAGATCATCAATAATCGCTGTGAGGTGAACATCAACGGAGCCACACTCAAGTCCCATTGTTGCTCGACGCTTGGAGAGGCCTGGGGCAGCCCCTGCGCCAAGTGTGAAAAAGGTACATACATCGAAAAGAAATAAATCAACACTGGATACATACATGTGTACATGTGTTAAGGTAATGTTTTTATATTTTTATTACAGATCCCATCTGTGGAAAAGGCTATGCAAGAGTCAGAGGGAACAACTGTGAAGGTAAGCTTTAATATTTTACCACTATATATTTAGTAGTACAGTAAGTCAGTTGATCCAGAGGTTGTTGGTTCGAATCCGACATAAACATCATTGGTTGAGCGGTTAGACCCATTGACCCACAGGTTGGCAGTGCAATTCCTGCTCCCACAGATGAATGCTGTCATTGTGTCCTTAGGCAAGACACTTAACCCACCTCACCCGCAGTGTACAGTGGTGTGTGACTGTGTTTGTGAACGTGTGTGTGAACGTGTATGTGAACGTGTGTGTGAATGTGTGTGTGAATGTGTGTGTGAATGGGTGAATGGTTCCTTGATGTGCCTTGAAGCGCTGTATAAAAATGTGACCATTTACCATTTGCATTTTTCTTATGATACAAAAACAGTTCAGCATTTAAACCAACAGCAAAACTACCCTTTCGCCTTTTAAGTATTAACAATTATTCTTGAATTTATTTACATCAAACTGACCTCATCTGTCAGAGCAGAGTTTTGCTTTAGACTGATTCAAACCAGCAAATGTCTCAACTTGCTCATGTCTTGCACTGGCAACAAATATATTTGCATCCCCATGTTAAAATACATTTCATTTCAAAAACAAAATCTCATTAACAATAAAACACATGCTGTACCTGTCAGAATAAAGATAAAAGTCATATTGGGTTACAGATCTGCTAACAAATAGAAAATCAGATATATTATTAAAACACGTTGTACATCTTAAAATTATGTTAATAAAATATGCTAAATGTTTTGCTAAGATCCGTGGCAAAATGTTGTGCAATTTCATCTGTAATCATTAAATATTTCTTTTTCAGATGTGGACGAGTGTCAGATTTTCCCTGGCGTTTGCATCAATGGCAAATGTGTGAACACCCAAGGGTCCTTCTTCTGCCAGTGCCCCCCGGGGATGACTGTGGACGTGAGCGGCAGGATGTGCATCGGTGGGTGGTTTTCTTATTAAAATGCAGTTTACAGTTTGGTAATGGTGCAGTAATGGGAGGATATTAACTTAACAAGGTGATAATGGAGATAGTTAACTCTACTGAGGCTAGACCTGACCTATATTACACCAAATTGGCTCTCGTGAGTTTTTTAGCCATGGTATAATGTTGTTACCTCCTCAGAAACATACCTGGAGGTGTGATTTGTTTCAACCACACATGTTTGAGTCATTCTTTATGGTCTGTTCCACCTTGTGATGTCACCAATCAGTAGTTTTCAAGTTTACATCTAGCTTTTACTTTTGTTTGGTAGATTTTGGCAATTGCAGGTCTGAAATCATCCAAATGATTCTAGTGAAGGTCTACTGAGTTTAAAAACACAGTGGAGCACTTCCTGTATTACCACATGGCATCACAAGTTGGAACAGAGTTGTTACGTATTACGATCCAGCTCGTTGTGGTCAGGGAAGTAGCAACAAAACCAAGGTGGAAAATGGATTCAATTAAATAATGTTTAATTAACAGGAATGTAAAAGGTAAACTTAACAAAACAGGCTAAAATATGTACAGACAAAACCTAAACTAAGAAACAAAACAAGCAGGATTAACATACAAAAACAGGTCATGCAGGTCTGCACAAAAATGAGTGATTAATAAGGGACACACGAGAAAACTAAATCACAAGTGCCCCAAAGTAAAACCACATAAACCCACAAACAGAATCGAGTGACAAAATAAAAGGCACAAACCAGAACTAAACTAAACAAGTGTCTCAACACAACAAACAAAGTCAAACACGTACGAGTACAAACGAGTGACTGACACTAAAGCGACACAGACAAACACAAAATGGCACTAGGGATAGGCATTCGATTAAATTTTCTTAATTGATCGTTGGGAGAATTAACGATCGATTATCAATTAATCAGTAATGCTTTTTATATAAAAATTTATCATTATTATTATTATTATTATTATTATTGTAATTATTACTATTTGCACTACTAATCTGCATAAATAAATTCAACTTTACAACATATAAACCGTAACCACTCTAGAGCCACATCAGCCCGTTTGAAATTATAATGTGTTTAATGCAGCTTTGCGCAAGTCTCACAAAAACAAAATTTAAAACCGCATGGCTAATTTGCATAAATTAAGCAAAGGAAAAAAACAGCTCTTGTGCGCTGATGAGACACGACTCAGTGGAATACAGGTTAGTGTGACCATATTTGCGTTTGTCAAAACCAGGACACCGTACGGGGGGTGGGAGGTGGGGACTCGTCATCGACATTGAGCTACTCTCACCTGGCAAAGCTTTTTCCCACTGGACACTGAAACATATGTGCTGCTTTGTACACTGTGCACATGGACTCACATTTGTCCCGACCGGAAGGGAAAGCGTGGAATTTCTTGTAGAAGTCATCGTTAAATGTGCATTAGCGCTTCAGCGCGTTGCAGGCTGACCGACTGTTTGTGTTTGCTCGCTCCTTCTGAGTGCAGAGAGCTACATGTACGGACCCATTTGGTCACGAAACGCACAGCAACCTACATTCGGTTTGTCGAATAAAATGAACGTAATCGATGAAATTCTTAATGATCAATTATCGATTAATCAACTAATGCCCATCCCTACTGTCTACAAAGGCCAGCAGCTCCGAACAGGTGTAGACAATCTTCTTAAAGAGGGGGAGGAGGCTGGAGGTGACGCAGGATTGGACAGGTGTAGAAGTGCCCCACCAATCTGGGATCAGGGCTCTCACAGCTGGAATTCATGAGCCTGATTCATCAGCCGGTTTTACTTCGTTTAAACCGTCTGACCTAGCAGCATTAGGATTCGTTCGCTTGACGATGGGCGGGTACTTTTTTCATTTAACCAATCGCTGCTATTTGGTCGTGACATATGTAATGCACCACTAACAGGACTTACTGGTATATTAAACTTTTCCCAGTCCCGTAGGAAGAAGGGCAATAACGTCTTTCCCCTTGATAAAGTTCACCAAACATTCTCTTTGTTCCGGCTTTAAATCCTCGATCTCGGGAATCATTGCTGTCGGCTTTCCCAGACGTGACTCACAAGTAACTTTAAAAAAAACTCCAGGAGATGGAAAGGTCTACGTATAAGTCTCTTTATTTTAGCGCAAGCAGTTTACAGAACTAGATTCGAGTGATTACAGGATCCGGTCACCAGCGTCTCTGAATGACCGCAGAGTAGACAGCTCGATACATGACATTTTGTTGAAATATTAACTTATTGATTAGCTCGTTTTAGCAAGAAAGTTCACATATATATTGATCAACTTGTTTTGCAGGATACTTTGCAGACATATTGATCAGGCTAACAGGTTCATGTACACCTACAACCAGCAACTAAAAGAAAATATAACAAGAAACATTTTGATATGATTCAAATAACAGTGAAGCATCAAAAGGAGAAAATAAACCCACATTGCCAACACAGAATATATGGTTCTTTACTAATTGGCTGGTGCCCGAACTCGCACTTCCGGGGTTTTTGCGAACCATCTAGTGCAGGGGTGTCAAACTCATTTTGGTCCGGGGGCCGTATCCACCCTACTTTGATCCCAAAGGGGCTGGATCAGAAAACTCATGTCATATAAACCCCAAAAATAACAATAAGTTCAAATATTTGTGCAGAGAAACGCAAATCTATTACAGAAATCTTTAATCTTTAATTGATGAACTCTTTCTTATTATAATATTATAATATTATGAACAACCTGAAACTTTAAGAAAAATTCAATTTCAGCACAATGTTTTAACATGAACTTGTTTGCAAACAGGAATAAGTAAATTTTTCTTGGAAATTCCTGCACTCGACTCCACTTTTCTCATGTTGAACATTTTTCTGATGAGGGTGTCACAGTCAACAGTCAAAACGATCGTCCTTTAAGAGTGTTTGGAAAGAGACAAGTCTTAATTTGTGCTGCTCTGGTGGGAGGGGCCATGCACAGAGACGCTGGAGACGCTGCTATGCTAAGCACCGCAAAAAATTACCAATATTTTAATAGAAAATATAATTAAAATATTTTAGTAGAAAATCACCCAAGGGTCACATTAAAGGTCTTGGAGGGCCGGATCTGGCCCCCGGGCCTTATGTTTGACACCTGTGATCTAGTGTATTCCGATTCCTGACCTAGTTGCTGGAGAGAAATTAAATTGAGCCTAAGCAGTGGATGGCTAGGAATTCATGGGGGCAAGAAAGAAATTAAAACACACACAAATAAGTCAACCCACTGGAGGCCTGGAGCTGTAACAAAAGTGTTTTCTGTTTGAGAGAAGAACTGGGTTTGTGTTTTAAACATGTGTGAATGAAGCAAAACACAACTCCAGGTGTGTTTGTGATGAGGAAACAACATTATAACATAAATCAGAAAATAACGTTAAATGGGCCCTTTAATAATACAATGACTTTTCACAGGGTATCTGAGTTGAATTTGCTCCAGTCTTAATCTTTTTCTTAACTCTGGCCAATGTTTTATTTGCTCAAACGATGCATGAGACTGTATTCAAGCATCTATAATTTAATTTTCATGCCTAAGAAATTCCCTCTAATTTGGACTTTTCGACAACAAACTTTTGGGTGTGACCCTCTGTGCCCAGAAAATCTTGGTTGTATCTTAGCAAAACAAGTGTGAGATTTCCTGTTTTTACTTTTTATCATGGGAAAATCCAAACTACTGCTACTCCACTGCGCTCAATTATTAGTGTACTTAACCCTGCCAGAACCATCTGTTTTACTACTACTACTACTTCTACTACTACTACTATTACTAAAACTACTTCCACTACTATTACTACTACTACTACTACTACTTCTATTTCTATTATTACTATTACTACTACTACTACTACTACTACTACTACTACAACACTACTACTGCTATTACTAAAACTACTTCCACTACTATTACTACTACTTCTAATTCTATTACTACTACTACTACTACTACTACTACTACTACTACTACTACTATTACTATAACTACTTCTACTACTGCTACCAGTATTACTACCACTACTGCTACTACTACTACTACTACTACTACTACTACGACTACTACTACTACTACTACTACTATTACTACAACTACTTCTACTATTACTTCTACTGCGTCTACTACTATTACTACTACTATTACTACAACTACTTCTACTACTGCTACCACTATTACTACCACTACTGCTGCTACTACTACTATTACTACAACTACTACTACTACTATTACTACAACTACTTCTACTATTACTTCTACTGCGTCTACTACTATTACTACTACTATTACTACAACTACTTCTACTACTGCTACCACTATTACTACCACTACTACTACTACTACTACTACTACAACTACTACTACTACTATTACTACAACTACTTCTACTATTACTTCTACTGCGTCTATTACTATTACTACTACTATTACTACAACTACTACTACTACTACTACTACTACTACTACTACTACTACTACTACTACTACTACTACTACTACTACTACTACTACTACTTCCACTACTATTACTACTACTTCTATTTCTATTATTACTACTACTACTACTACTGCTACTACTACTACTACTACCATTAAGGCTACCTTGACTGATGGTTCTTTACTTTCTTTGCTAATTATGATGACTACTACTACTACACTACTACTACTACTACTACTACTACTGCTCCTGCTACTTTTACTACTACTGCTACAACTACTACTATTATTACCACTAAGGCTACTTTGACTAATTGTTCTTTGCTTTCATTGCTACTTCAGTGCTCTCAAGTACCACTCATACCACATCTGTTTCTAGTACTACTGCTACTGCAACTCCTACTACTACTACAACTACTACTACTACTACTACTACTACTACTACTACTACTACTACTACTTCTACTACTGCTGCTGCTGCCAATAAGGCGATGTGACTAATGGTTCTTTACTGTCTCTATTTAGTTTGTTAATATTGGTAATCTGTTGTTGTGTGTGTAATGTGTTTTTGTTTTGGTTTATTTACATGTTCTTAACCAGAATAATAACCAAGGGCTTTTGATTTCCTGCTTTATTCCATGGGAAATTCAATAGAAACTAAACACATCAGTTTCCAGTTCAGTACAAGAAACTTCTGCGTACAATGTTACTGCCTATTACTACAACTGCGATCATTGTATTATTGTATCAGTTGCTTCTTAAGATAACATAAGATACACTTTGTCTATCCCACAATGGGGAATATTATTACCTAAACATCTTTCCTACAAATGTATTTCTAGTTTTCATAGTGGGATTAAACATATGAAAACTGGAACAATATATTTTTGGGCTTAGTATTTATCATGTGTACAGTTTCTTTGCAATAATGGGGAGATTTTTGTCATTTTAGTTGCAATTCAATAAAATCTGAGCTGTAGAGGGTTGAATAAGTGACTGCTACACCTTCATTCTGTCATGTTTTTATTGCAGCTCAGGTCTTTTAGTGCTACTGTCTATTTAAAAATGGTTCACTGGGATTATCCTGCGTTATTGTGTCAGTGGCATAAAGTAGTTTCAATATGATCATTTATCGCAATGTTTCTCTGTAGTAACGTATCATGCTTCAAATTTAGTCATCGTCATATCATATAAAGACCATTCTCTTTTTTTCTCCAGACCTGCGGACCGAGCATTGTTACCTGTCCCACGACGACGAGCGCTGCGCGGCCCCCATCCCAGGGAAGCACCGCGTGGACGCCTGCTGCTGCTCGGTGGGCGTGGCCTGGGGTCCCGAGTGTGACGAGTGTCCGGAGAAAGGCAGTCCTCAGTACGTCCAGCTCTGCCCTAGAGGCCCCGGTTTCTCTCACCGTGGAGACTTCATCAACGGACGGCCATTTTTGAAAGGTACAAGGCAGGAATAGTGCTGGATATGTTATTTTTGTTTTGATATGTTACAGTTTTATTTGACAATTATATAACCTAACATCATTTTATTTTGTACAATAGGCTTCAAAGTCACTTTTTTTATATTTGTTATATGTGTTCGCAATGGGCGGCCATTTTTGTAAGGTAAGGGGTCACATCTAGAAGAAGGAATAAATAATAGTGCTGTACATGTGACTAATTACTTAGTGTTTTGGTGTGTTACAATTTTATGTGATAATTATACGACTTTACATCAAGTTATTTTACAATACATAGCCTTAATAGTAATTTTCTAATATTTGTTCACAATTGGTGGCCATTTTTGAAAGGTACAATGCAATAATAGTGCTGTACATGTGACTAATTACACAGTGTTTTGCTATGTTGTTATTTTATGTGACAAACATATAACTTAACATCAACTATTTTGTACAACAGGCTTCGTAGTCATTTTCTTAGATTTGCTCACAGCGGGCAGCCATTTTTGAAAGGTAAGGGGTAAAATCTGGAGTCAAGAGGAAATAATAGGGCTGTAATTACTCAGTATTGTGCTATGATACAATTTTATGCCCATGATTATATAACATAACACTGGACATATAAATTAACACACACATTTTGTACAACAGGCTTCTTAGGCATCTTCTGAAACTGGTTCACACTTCACAGTACATGCATAGAGCCATGCAAAGGAAAGGAAAGGCTTTGTAGCACATATTTGTGCACAAAATAATTCAGTTTAAGTGCTTTACAAAACAAGGGTGCCTTAAAATCACATTACAAACAAGCAAGTCACTAAAAACACATATGATTATCATTATAAACTCATCAATATGACATAGTATTGCGTTAAAGTACATGGCTGATTTAGTTTTTAATGAAATGTGAGTATGAATTAGTTGTAATAGTTCTACATTAAGAATATCTATATGTCTTCTATGTAATTATCACAATTCTTTAGTAATTTGTCTTACTTCCCTGTCTCCCTCCTGTCTTTCTTTCAGATATAAATGAGTGCAGAATGATCAGTACACTTTGCTCAAACGGGAGATGCAGAAACACCATCGGCAGCTTCAGATGTCGCTGTGACAATGGATACGCTCTTGACTCAGACGAGAGGAACTGCACCGGTAAGAACTGAGGGACTAGAGTTAGATTACACTGCTCATTTACACCCTATAGTGTTCTACATATACAATACAACCAAGTTTTTATTATTAGTTAATTTATTATTTTAATTAATTTTTTTTATTGGAATGCCCCTTGAAATGTGCCAACTCGTTTTTTTGAGGGGGTCCAAAAAGCACAAAACATTAGTAAAAAATCTGTGTATCATTTGTTAATTTGTTTTTCAATATAAAACCAAAAATAAGAAAATAAAAAAACAACAATTTTCTTCATTATTTGTCTCCAAAATGAAGTACTAATGAAGTTAGTTTTTACATTTGTCGATTTTGTGTTGAAATGAATAATGGAAAAAAAAGATTACGGCCGTTTCCCGTTTCCGTGACTTAAACTGCGATTCTGGACTTGTGCGCCACATACGGACTAAACCAGGACTAAAACAGGACTGAACAGGTCTAAACCAGCTCTAAACCAGAACTGAACGAGGATTAAACCAGGTCTCAGTCCTGGTCTCAGTCCTGGTCTGGTCCCAGTCTGGTCTGGATTTCTTGATTACCCGACAGTCTATGCGGGCGCATGTCCAGGCCAGTCCCAACATTCCTGGTTCAGTCCTGGTTTATTCCTGGTTCAGTTCTGGTTTAGTCCTGGTTTAGTCCTGGTTTAGGTCCAGGACCAGGTCTGGGACTGAGACTGGGACTGAGACTAAGATTGAGACTAGGACTGAGATCAGTTTAGACCTGGTTTAGAGCTGGTTTAGAGCTGTTTTAGACCTGGTTCAGTCTGGCATCACAGTTTAAGTAACGGAAATGGGAAATGGCCGTTACCTGTTTTTTCCATTATTCATTTAAACACATAATTGAAAAATGAAAAAACGAATCAGTATCCGTTTTTTTTTTCATTTTGGGTTTGGAGACAGATAATGAAGAAAACAGTTGTGTTTTCGTTTTCTTATTTTTGAGTTTATATTGAAAAACGAATGAACGAATGATACACGGATTGTAAAACACTGTACAATAGACAGAATACAAAACTTTACATGTTTACAATACAAAGCTCTCCTCCTGTCCTGCAACAGTACCTGATGTATATATATATAAAAAATAGAGTATGCATAATATAATAAATATATAAAATAATGGAAAATATGGAAAAATAATTATAGTAAGTTACTCTGGATACTTTTGGGGTTTTGAAAAATATGGAAGATTTGATCTGCAGTTAGGCAATTTTTAATCAAATCGGGATCCAATAGTTTTGCATCGTCAGTGATCTCGGGGCTTTTTACTCCAGAAGTCTCGAGCCGATCTTGTGGTAGTGAGCGCATGTGGTTTTGAGCAGAACTTGTACTTAAGAGGAATGCAAGGCGGTGATTCAAACTCTGTCTTATCTCCATGAAATCAATATTGAAGGCCATTTTTCTTTGTTGACTCAAAACAGAAGTGAATCAGATACAGATCGATCAATGCAAGGGGAAAAAATATGATAATTTTTTTTTTACACCAGCCAAATGTCTGTGGAGTAGATTTGTTCAGGACAGTGCAAATCCGCAAAGGATGTTGACATCTTATTTTGTAATGTAATAGGCTGAATGATTATAATGTAGTGCCAATTTTTAATATACCCCAGGAAGACTAGCTGAAGGCATCCATTTTAGTCAGTGGTTTCAAAACAAGTGAACAATAGATAAAGGTTACAATAAAGCATGTTTAATTAAAATAAAGACTACCCAATAATTTTTATGTGTCAGTACTTCAGTTTGTGGCGTCGTTTTAATATTTAGTATGCCTCAAAATTAGGATTAGCATTTGCATTTAGACGCAAACATCTCTCTTTCTATTTTGAATTACCTCAGTGTATTTTTTATCTGCTGCTCGTGTCCAACCAAGAAGTAAAATTATCAACTTTACCATAAAAAATAAAAATAATAAAAATATTACATAAAAAGGGAATATTTTTATATAATTTTTAGGGATGTAACAATAACCGAAATATCATGATATCGTATCGTCAGAACTCTCACAATAATATCGTGGTCCATCACAATATATCGAATCACAAGGTTTTTCACTTAAGTATAAAAAAAAGGGAACTGTATAGGCCACGATCCTTTACTTACTTTACTATATAATAAAAATAACTGTTATTACTCACTTTTAAATGTTGGTCAAGGTATTTAAAAAGGAAAAAATAGCATATGGACAATTCAGTTCCCTCCAAAATATCACAGTAAATCGTATCGTGAGATTTGGATATTGTTACATCCCTAATAATTTTAAATATAATTATGTGTAAAACTGTTTTAGTGAAAAAGTATGCAAACCTGTCATGTGCACTTCAACCCAAATCTGTTTTAGATCGACTTTTTATATATATATCAATGTTGAACTTCAAAACAACACATTCTGAAGTTAAAGCTACCTACAGACAGGTAATAGTTCTCGTCAGCTGCACAAACTCCACATCTGTCTCAGTCCAACCAGTCCCAACCAGCTCCACGGTTTCTGACTCTTTCGGCCAACTCCCATTACAATAAAATGGAAAGGACATTGCCTCCTCGTAGCTGGTTGGGTCTAATAGGAGCCAGGCTTTGAGCTCATTGGAACTCCTCCACTAAGTCTGGTTAAACTCATTGAAGCTATACCGAAATCTGCAGACTTACTTGTAACTGAAATACCTGGAATATGGCAATTATGGTTTTGCTGTAGGTTATATTTAGAAAATCAATGAACTTTTAACCTCTTTAGGGTGTAATTATTTTGCCATTTGAATTAAAAAAATTTCTTAAAAAACGTTAAAAAAAAAATAGAAGTAGATCATTTCAAACCGCGTGCATTGGTCTAACGTTAATCCTCACTTGCCGTATGCATGCTGATGAGTTTTTAAACACTTTTCAGAGACCAGAGCAGAGATTTCCGATGACAGTAAAGCTATAGCAACAACTAGCATGCCAACACACACTTCCTGATTATCAGATAATAATCCACTTTCTAATTAGATGTATACCGCACACAACTAAGTTATTTTGACCTTAAAGGACCCGTATGTTGTAGATGTTGTTGTTTCCTCATCAAAAACATACCTGGAGTTGTGTTTTGTTTCTTCTCTCAAACTGAAAACACTCTGTTCCACCTTGTGATGTCATGTGGTAATTCAAGAAGTGCCTCATTGTGTTTTTAAAATCCATACACCTTCATTAGAATCATTTGGATGATTTCAGACCAGGAATTGCCAATTTCTACTGAAGTAAATTTAAAAAGTAGCTGCTAACTTGAAAACTACCGTTTCATGACATCACAAGGTGGAAAAGAGCGTTTTAAGATTTGGAGATGTGGACAGACTAATAAACCAAGGTTAGTCAAACATGTGTGAATGAAATAAAACGCAACTTTGGGTATGTTTGTGAAGAGATGATGTCATTATACTGGGACAAGACATATTCTTCTCAAATACATAGTAAAAAATCGGATACAGGGCCTTTAATTTCGCTTTGCCATCGTCTAATTATATTTTATTTCTTTTCTTATAGCGTTTAATACCAAACTCTTGACTTCAATGTTGTTAATGAAAATTGCAGTGAAAATAAATAGCTTACGGCGTGTTTTGTAACCATTAGCGATTTTTATGATTCGAACAGACTTTCTCCAGATGCAGACATTTTACTGCAATTTCAAAGTTATTTTTTATATTAATGCATTGTTGTTTTTCTCTCTGTAGATATTGATGAGTGCCGAATTTCTCCGGATCTTTGTGGTCAGGGCAGATGCGTCAACACTCCAGGAGACTTCGAGTGTGAATGCTTTGAAGGATATGAAAGCGGTTTTATGATGATGAAAAACTGCATGGGTAAGTACAAGTCAGAGGTACACTATGTAACTTTTTGGTTGGGGGTACATCACCTGCTTGTTTCTATGGATGTGACATCGCTCTTCCTGGAATGTTCCACAGTATGACATTAAACAGCACTACCTTACCATTATTCAATTAGAGGTGGTTTTATAGCTAGAAAAACAGGTACCATATTTTTTGGATTATAAGGCGCAATATCATTAATGTTGAATTCTCTCGTCTATTTTCATTCATAAGGTGCACCGGGTTTTAAGGCGCATTAAGCGAAACAAACGACAACACTTGAGACTGATACCTTAGCCCAGGCATCTACGATTCATTGGCAGATCGTGGCGTAACTCGTGAACGTGTATTATGAATGCGAATGTGGATAATTTAAGTTTGATTTTTTTATTTCCAACGAGGAGGACTCAAATATACATTGAGTAATAATGTTAATTTGTAATGTTAATAATGTAATTTAATGCAGCTTTACGTTTTACAGAATTTAAATTTAAAACCACATGGCTAATTTGCATAAACTATAAGCGCTGATAAAAACTGCTCGCTCCTTGTGCTCTGATGCGGTCAGCTTCGGTCCGACTAAAGGACACGTAGTTAAAGGGGATGGGCTGCTGATGGTGAGTCTGTTCTGTGCATTGTATGTCGCGTTGGAGATGGTTCATGTGAAACATCTCAGAGATTATTATTATTAGACTCCACGATGCTCCTGACTACAGTAGCTGTAATGCTCCGACAATCCATCTAGCAGTGCTGCTTCATAGTTTACTAAAGTCGTACTAAAACATTTTGACAGATTTTTGAGCGCCGTGTACCACATAAAATCAGTTTGAGGTCAGTAAACACAACCAGAATTAATACATAAGGCACCCTGTCATTTTTGAGAAAATTAAAGGATTTTAAGTGCACCCTATAGTCCTAAAAATACATTATCCTGACTGAGAGCTGGTTGCCTCTCCACAGATCTGACCTGTCCATTTGGTCTCCATGAAGATAGAAAGGTTGAATGCCATACTGTGAAACATTCCAGATAAAGCAATAACACAAAGCATTTGAGGGACTCTCCATGGGAAAAATTGAACAATGCGCCTTTAAGGTTTTGATTTTTGCGTGTCAACAAATGTAACCGTGTACAACAAATCAAGTTATAACGTGTTTACTCACATAATCAGATTTCTTGGTAGTAAAGGGCAGAGTGGTGGGTTTTGGTGATGAGGGTTCAGATTAGGGCGGTTTATTTACAACTGGTTTTAATCGTAGAAGTGGCTACCCAAACATGTGGCTCATACTGTGTTCTGATTGGATAACCTACTTCAGAAACCAAAAACACCAAATGAAAACATCAACAGCATATTCATCATAGAGGATGTTTTTGTAATTAAGAATAAATCTGCATCACATTTATCGGCAAAAATACAGATTTGATCTGGACATGTCTTTGCACACAGATCTATTTTGCATTTATTTCATTTTTTTTTTTATTGCTCAAAAACCTGGAAAAACATGAATACATTCTGTATGTGGGGTTGCCTCTCCACAGATCTGACCTGTAAATTGTCCTGTGGGTGCCGTGGAGATACAGTACCTTAGATTTTAATAAAGCTAAGGTATGTAGGATATTTCTTAAATGTGCACTGTGTAACTTTTGCACTACCATCTTGTCTCCAGGAGGATGTTATTGCTTATATGTTCCACAATATGGCATTAAACATATAATTTCCATGGAGACATGCAAGTGACGCCACCAGGGTAAACAAGTTACAGGTCAGGTCTAAGGAGAGGTGACCCCACGCACTCAACTGGACACACATGACATTTAGTCAAACAGAGGTGGTTTTATAGCCAGAAAAACAGGTATTCTGACTGAGAGCTGGTTGCCTCTCCACAGATCTGACCTGTAACTTGGTTCGGTTTGGTCTCCATGAAGGCAGAATGGTTTAATGCCATACTATGAAACATTGCAGACAAAGCAATAACACAAAGCATATGAGGGACCCTTTACCAGAAAAGTTACACAATGCACCTTTAGGAAAAATCCCAGTCCCAAATACTCAAGCTTTATTAAAGGTGCTCAAGGAGGGTCCACCACCTACTTGTCTCCATGGAGATGGTATTAATTTGTTTAAACTTGTATCTCCATGAATACAAAAAGTTGGCACCACCAGAGCCAAGTTACACACCAGATCTGTGGAGAGGTCATAGGTTTTTAAGCAATAAAATTGGCTATGATTAAATAAATGCCACATAGAAAAGTTAAATTCATACTGTGGAACATTTCAGGCAAAGCAATAATAACTCCATGGAAACAGGCAGCCACCAAAGTTCCATAGTGCACCTTTAAACTGATGTAAATGTATTGAAGGACTATTGCTATTTAAAACTCCTAGTTACATGCCTGTGAAAGTGGTCCCTTTTAAAACTGCCCTTTGCTGCTTGTTAAACTCCACATCTATCTAAGTGCGCAGTGCTTTGCCAGTCCATAAACATTTGTAAACGTGGGGGAAACCCGGACCACCACCCCACCCCCCTCGTCTCCCCAAACCCACCCCACGGAGCCCACTCCCATTTGGGCCGTAAGATGTGGATGAGGTGCCTCTACAAACACGCCGAGCCAGGAATCCACTGTTTAGAGTGGCTGACGTAATCCCAAATTTACAGTCATTTGTACAGAGAAGGAAGCAGAGTTTAACGGTGATTTATTGAAGTCATTGAAGCCCCCACGGTGTGTTCAATGACCGGTAATGTTCCGTCTGAGTGTCGCCACAATCACTCTGTAAAACTGCACCATTTACCCCAGATAAGATAATTGTGCTTTATTATGCTGTTTACCTTTAAAACAAGCAACATACAATGCACCACAAAGTGCCCTTGTAGTCGACTGGGGGGTTTAACTGACTGCAACTGCTGTGTAAATGCACCATAGACTTCGCTTCTAAACTCCCCCATTTTACTTTTGGTCATTCATAAGGGTGTAACGGTACACAGAAATCATGGTTTGGTACATACCTCGGTTTTGAGGTCACAGTTCAGTTCATTTTGGGTACAGTATGGGAACAAAATACAAAACCATAAACCATAAAACAATTTGTTTTAACACTATAGAAACAGAAAAATAAAATAAATGCAAAGTGCTGCTTGGTAATAAGTTAAATTAAATATTCTTAAATAAGCAAGAAATGTATGAAATATTATAAAAAATAAATTCCTTGTTAACAGTAAACAAAACTTTTCAAAAAGTAAACTGCAGCACGAACAGTTCCAGCATGAAGTTTTACTCAATCTTCATATTTTTGGCCAGAAAAAACAACTTTTGGGTGCGGGGGACGGGCAGTGGGAGATTCTGTGCTGGCGAAAGTAAAAGTGAGGACCTCGGGGACGACCGTAGTTTGTGTGGTTCAGAGGGGACGTAGACGTAGGCGGGGAGCAAATGTTGTTAAAACAGCTGCCCAAACTATAAAGCACTACGGGAAACACTGCCACCCCAATCACGGACAAGTTCCCTCGTGAATATTAAAGAGCCAGACCTTCCATGTAGATGCACAAGTAGTGGCAGAACACACAAATTGCGCAAACTCACTCATGCACAGCCCTGCACTGAACCGAACGTCCTGTAAACAGTTTGGCATGAATACATGCACCGTTACACCGCTAATAATTCATGTTTACAGTGTTCTGGCATAACAATATGAACACTTGTGTAAGTTAGCAATGGCTCTTCACAACTTCTCAAAGATAGATACAAGTTTAAGCTAAAAATATTCCTGTTCACATTAGATTTTGCCACTTACAAAGCAGTGTCCCTTATGATTTAATTTGTCTTGTTTTTGTTTTTCTTCCTTGATTTTAAATGGGCATAACAAATAAGTTTGATAGATTGACTGACTTATACGATAAATTGGACTTGATTGAATTTCCAGTTTCTATTGAGAATGGAGTTATAAATATAGATGACATATACTGTATTTTAGCTTTTTTGGGCGTCCAATTGTAGATTAACAGTTACAAAGCAAATGTGTGTTAAAAATTGAGAAGTTTGAGGCAGTGTTTTATACTATAAAAGTTTAAAGAATTTTGAGGAAAATAGATTAAGAGGTCTGAATGAACTATTTTGGGCTTGTGCAAATAGTGAATATATTGGAAGAAAGACCCTAGTGATAGAGCTGCTAACCAAACATTTATAGATGGACATAAATGGGGGCTAAAAACTTGGGAGAAGGATGCAGAGGATGGAGTTAGCTGCAGGTAATTTGGTGTTTTGATCTTTAAAGGGAAAAGCTTAAAAAAAAAAAAAAAAAAAAAAAGATTTGAACTACTAATAGACTCAAATAATGATATTAGGGTAACTGATATTGCCTAAAGCTCCACCATGTGACTTTTTACCCAAACAAATCAAAACTAAAAGCATGTTTTTCATATTGGATGTCTTTATTGCACTGAGACAATTTTTGAAAAACACACATCCTTACTGTGAGCGACCTTGCAAATCCACAAACCTGATACTTGGCTTGCTAGTCTCCATGGAAATGTTGCTTCTTTGGCTATAATATTTCACAGTATGGCACAAAACTCAAGGAGAAAGTTCCAAAATATGGTTTTAACGTTTTATTTCCAGTTGATCTGCCACTTTGAGAGAGTTAAACGGTGTTACTTAAAATGTTCGAATGTGTACTAATTCGTAAAGCTTATTGGAAATTAATGATATTTTTCTTTTCTCATAGACATTGACGAGTGTGAGAGGAACCCCCTGCTGTGTCGAGGTGGAGACTGTGTGAACACCGAGGGCAGTTTCCAGTGTGTGTGCCCCGAAGGACACGAGATCTCTCCGGACGGATCTGCATGTCTGGGTAAGGAGGATACAGCAAAGAAAATATTATAGCAAATCTTACAACTGAAGCCCCAATTCACACATGTGTCTGAAAACTGCTCTCTTCGCACTTTTTGAATTTCCATCCGTCCGTCTCTGCACTCTCTCACACACCAAAGTGCTGCTGAATCATTTAAACTGAATGAGACTGGAACGTCACCGTGTCGCGTATCCAGGAAATGCTCGTATCCAAGTAAATTCCCAGGTCAGACTGCACATGTGAAAGGAGCTTAAGGAAGACAGATAAAATATATAATAGATAGATAATAAATAGATGGAGAGATAGATTGATTGATTGAAGGTAGCTAGATATATTGAGAGAAAATAGATAGATAGATAGAAAATAAAATAGAAAAATAAATAAAATATATAATAGATGGATAGATAGATAGATAGATAGATAGATAGATAGATAGAAAATAAAATAGAAAAATAAATAAATATATAATAGATGGATAGATAGATAGATAGATAGATAGAAAATAAAATAGAAAAATGGATGGATAGATGGATAGATAGAAAATAAAATAGAAAAATAAATAAAATATATAATAGATGGATAGATAGAAAATAGAAAAATAAATAAAATATATAATAGATAGATAGAAAATAGAAAAATAAATAAAATATATAATGGATGGATAGATAGATAGAAAATATATATAATAGATAGCTGGATTAATGGATCGAGAAAAAAAAAAATATATATATAATAGTTTGATAGAGAATATTTATAATAGATAGATAGATGGATGGATAGGTTAGATAGATAGATAGATAGATAGAAAATCAAATGAAAAATAAATAAAATATATAATAGATGGATGGATGGAAAATAAAATTGAAAAATAAATAAAATATATAATATATGGCTAGATGGATAGATAGATAGAAAATAAAATATAAAAATAAATAAAATATATAATGAATGGATGGATGGATAGATAGATAGGTAGATAAATAAATAGATAGAAATATATATAATAGATAGATAGATAGATAGATAAAATAGAAAAAAAAAGATAGATAAAATACCAAATATTACAAATTCTGAACACCCATGATGAGTTTTGCCAAATCTCAACCAAATGTATCCACCCTTTGCTTTTATGATCGTGTAAGAATTTTACCAATGTTTCTCATTGCCCCTCCCATATATTTTAACTTTTTTCCCTCAGTCTAAAAAACAAACTCAACAATTAAAAAATGCTCGTATCCAAGTAAATTCCCAGGTCAGACTGCACATGTGAACGGGGCTTAAGAAAGATAGATAAAATATATAATAGATAGATTGATTGATTGAAGATAGCTAGATAGATAGATAGAAAGAAAGTAGATAGATAGTAAATAGATGGATAGGTAGATAGATGGATAGATAGATTGATTGATTGATAGACAGATAGATGGATAGATAGATGGATAGATAAGAATAGATAGATAGAAGTAGATAGATAGAAAATATATATAATAGATAGATCAAATAGAAAATAAAAGAAAAAATGTATATCTAGATGGATGGATGGGACATATATATAATAGATAGATCAGATAGAAAATAAAATAAAATATATAGATATAGATGGATAGATGGATAGATGGATGGATGGATTGGTGGATAGATAGATAGATAGATAGATAGATAGATAGATAGAAAATATATATATAATAGATTGATCAAATAGAAAAGAAAAAATATATATATCTAGATGGCTGGATGGAAAATGTTTATAATAGATAGATAGATAGATTGATTGATTTATTGAAAATATATATAATAAATAGATAAAGATAGATAGATGGATAGATAGATAGATAAAATAGAAAAAAAAGATAGATAAAATACCAAATATTACAAATTCTGAACACAATTTTGCCAAATCTCAACCAAATGTATCCACCCTTTGCTTTTATGATCGTGTAAGAATTTTACCAATGTTTCTCATTGCCCCTCCCATATATTTTAACTTTTCTCCCTCAGTCTAAAAAACAAACTCAACAATAATAAAAATAAAAAAAAATCCCAAAGTACTGAAACATTACTTCTCAATAAATAATCTGTGGGAAACAATTAATATACGTTTTATTGGTGATATTACCGCGCCCATGGGTGTATCTAGGGTAAGTTTAAAGTCTTGCATTCCTCATAGCACGAAGAGGAATGTCTCTGGTCCCAGTTTGACTCGGTGATCTTTTGTTTATACTTGTTGTGGTGAAGTTTTGGCTACACCTCTCCCGTAGCATCACCCTTAAGCGTAGTCCATCTGTATTTAGTGGTTTATAGTGTAATCCTCTGGTTTCTGTGGCGCTCTGTTAAACTGTTTATGGTCACGCTCACTACTCAGTCCTAATACTGTCATTATGGAGAAGGACTACTAATAGCAAATACATCTGGGAAAATGTGTGTCACTTTCTCTCTTAAAGGGCCAGTGCCTGATTTAAACCATGAGTCAGGAATATGTTTTAGTTTGAACTTTTAGCCCCGCCCTCGCCGTCCTTTCTGCCTTTCTCGGATATTGCGCCGTGGCACAGAAATAACTGGAATATTGTCATGTAGTTTTTTTTTTCCCTTACAGTTCTCCAATCTCTGACAGCTATTTGTTTTTTTTTTATCGCTCTTGGAAAATGCACCGTGAGAAAGAATCAAGTGTCTGTGATAGTGTCAGACAGTTGGTTTCCCCTGATTTTTAGTAACACTGTGTCTGATTGGATGAAAAAGATACGGAATGGTAGTTATTACGTGAGAAAAATGTTATGTAAAAAGAAAAGACTATATTTTACAGTCTTGTTTTTTGCATATTTAGCAGCTATCAGTTGTAATTACTATACAATGCATGATTCATTTATTCATCAAACTTAACATTCTTAATATCTAAGAGATTAATATTTATCAAATTTTTATTTTTATGTATAAACTTCTTTACAATTCAATCGATCGATCAAATCAACGATCCCCAAACATTTCACATTTTACTTTAAAGCCAATGCAGAGATTCATACATACAAAAGTCATCTAAATCATAATTTTCATGTTCCAAAATGTGTCACATCAAGAGCTCAGTTTTGCCCACGATACAGAGGCTGTAAATTGTGGAGCCAGTTTTCACATCTGGTTAGTGACGTCAAATCAGAAGCGCCGTTTAAAAAATAATTTAAGGAAATGTTTGATATTTCATGGTAATGTTTGATAATCTTTCAGTTGTGGATGTTTCATTGTATTTTAATTCGTGTTTGAATCTAATTAAATTAATCCAAGGTGTTTTGATGTATTTATTTTTTAATTAATGCACAGGGATAATGTTCAATTTTTTTATGTATTCATAAGGGGGAGGCTTTAATATAAGCTCTTTTGAGTTTTATGCCTCTTCCGACACCTAATTTTCATCTAGTATGTTTTTTATTGTTATGTTATACGTGTAAAATAAATAAATTAATTACTTTTAATAAGAGCATTTATTTTGACAAGAATACATTCAAATCAGTTACAGGCCCTTTAAAGCTGAACTAACCAATTTCTATGTGATTATTGTCCCTTTACTTTAAAATTTGTTGCCTATATCTTTTATATTATGTCACAACTGAACCTAAAATATGCACTTATACTGTATATGCAAATCATTCAGTCAACTACTCCTGACTTTTTATTTCAAACACAAGCAGACATAGATAGGAGCAAGATAAATTCCTCTTTTTTTTTTTTTTATCTTTTAATGTTTTATTTATACTTGTGATCATTTTGAGTGTATGTATACCCAACACATTAATAACAAAATAAATAAAATAAATAAAGACATAACAACAAATAAAACTACCTCAAAAAATAATGTAATACATAAATAAATACATAAATAATACAAACATTTTTAAGACAAATTCTTCTATAACTAATTGATTATTAGACTGGTTTCTCCCCAGTCCAAGCAAAACATTTGGGGTAGTTTGTGTTTTATTTAAAATAAAAACAAAACTCTTGAATGTCTTTTGTTTCCACAGATATAAACGAGTGTGAGTTGAGCGACAGACTTTGTAAACACGGACAGTGTGTGAACATGATCGGACGATACCAGTGCACCTGCGACACCGGATACAAGTCCACGGAAAACAGACTCGAGTGTGTGGGTAAGTCTACAGCAAATCCATATATTTTTACTTCATATAAATACATTCTGAACAATATTTTTTTAATCTTTGTTTTCTTCGCAGATATTGACGAGTGCACGATTGAAAACGGAGGCTGTGAGTCGTTCTGCACAAACTCGGAGGGGAGCTATGAATGCAGCTGTAACAGTGGATATGCCCTGATGCCCGACCTACGAAGCTGCACTGGTCAGTAAAGATTTCTCATGTAAATTACTAGATTGTTGTGAAGTTTTTTGTTTTTTTCTCCTAACTCATGAGAATCCATCTTGTACGGATTGTTTTATTATTGAAGGATGTAAGTTGGCTGCTGTCATTGGCTAAAACTCCACTGGCAAAATAACCGGGAGCCAGATTAGGCCGATTATGTTCAGATGATTAATATTAGAGGCGTTGTAAATGGTAAAATAATGTAATAAGAAAATAAATACAGTATTAAGAACTAGGAATTTATTTTACGTAAGAAATATTTATATTATAACTGTTGTGTTGGTTTTCACAAGGGGCTTTATAGAACCAAGCCCACAAAATCATATTATAATGCCCTTATTATTTAGTTAGTTTTAATTCATTCACATATATTTGAGTAATCTTCATTTTAAGGATGTCTCTAAAGGGCCTGTTTACACGAGAACGGTTGCGGGTAAAAACAACAAAATATTTTATCAGATGTGCATTTTGTTTAGACAGTGACAGCGTCTTTGGGGCTTAAAAACACAAAAATCTGAAACCACCCCCCAGAATGGAAAAGTTGAATACACTCCACCGTAGCGTTTCCGTCTACACTGCCCAAGATGCCCTGGTCAGATCTGCTCACGTCGCGTACATGTTTACATGACATACATACAGTACACAGAGACCTGGCATGCATACCCAATCGAATTCCACACACTTTTGTGTCACCGTATGCACTAGGGTGCATCATTTGCCCAACTTTTTGAAAAGTTTTTGAAAATCAATCTGTACCTAGTATAATTTTTTTACACTTGCCAAAGAAAACTTCCATGAGAAATTTCATGAAATTCTATTGATGTGTACTGGGTCCACCAAGCCTCTGAAGTTTAGTGCCTGTGGAAGCCTTAAATCTGAGCTGAAAAATCAGTTTTTCTTTAATAACATCCTTATCCTTTCTGGAAACTTGGATTTACCAAACCCTGAGCCGTACCTGCCATTGGGATGCTATGGGTGATGTCACACTCACTTACTCCACTTTTTTTATACAGTCTATGATCACTGCAGAAAGAGAACAAACTTTAAGTCTCTCATGAAATTATGAAGATAGAGATATAAATAGCAACATTTTTAAAGTTATTTGAGAAAAACAGAGCCTTATGGACACTGGTAGGATGGAACTAAAGAGGCTTGGTGGACCCAGTAGATCTTATTCAACTGAGCTAATATTCCACAGATTTTCTTTTAATTGGTATTGTCACATTTTAAAATTGGGTACAAGTTGAATTTCTGACACTGGGGCAAATGATGCACCCTAACATACACACAGATTTCATCCCGAAAGTGCTCGTCTAAATGCAGAATAAAAAGTGAAGACGCGACATCACTTTTGCATCTCCTGTTCAGACCGTCATCTTATAAATATAGCTTTAATAATTTATAGTATACGAATTTACTTGTCAAGCTGAATCTACTCAAATCAAGCAAAATGATCTTAATTTAAGTAATTTTAACTTGCCTAGGTATAGTTTTTTTCCCAGTGACACCAGAAAAGTAGTGCATCTTTAACACTGAAATACAAATGCTTTCTTCACTGTTAGCCATGTAGCTCCACACTGTAATAAAGTGTAGCCTGGACAGCCCTGTAATGCAGAACAACCGAGAATTATTGAGGGAAGATTCCTTGTTGACAGAGCGCTGGTCACATGATCTGCGTTCAAAGCCTGTTCCGAGACAATGCAGTCAGATTGGATTTACATTACATTACATTTAGAGACTGTAGATCACCGCTCGAGACGGATAGCTCCCCCTGATGAGACGAAAGAGTGTTGAAAAGTTGGACAGCTTATGTTTAGAGATGTTTTGAGCTGGTTTCATGTGGTTTTCGTTCCTGTAATTAGTGGAGACACATGAACAGACTCAGCGCTGAAGTGATTGTAGATTCACACACTACATGAGTTCACTTTGACATTTGCCTTTGTGCTTTGGTGATGTGTTGAGTTTACGGCATGTCCAAGGCATCTGCGTCTTGAGTCAACGGGGAGATTTAAGGACATTGTTTTGTAATGGGATAATGGATTTACCACAGCGGTTTATTGGACAAGATAGACATGTTTTCAGACAATACAAACAGTAAACAAACAATTCTGTAACAAAAATATGGTATTGTTGAAATATCAGTCAGGTTTTACATGAGATGAAAGTGTAGTAAAGCTAACAGACTCACACATGGCTGAGTGGTTTGCATTTTTGTCTTAAAGTTGAAATATTTTTTCAGTGAAGGGTACGCCATTTAGTTTTCTGTGTGAAGATGCTGTTGTTTTGGTTAGAATATTCCACAGTATGGTATTAAACCTGTCTATCGCCCTGGAGACAAGAAGATGGGAACCCAAGTTACAGGTTAGCAGGGGTGTAGTGGGCGTGGTACGCAGGGGTACACCGTCCACCCACTTCTCCTGACGTGAGATATAAAACAAATAACAAATATAAAATAGCCACAACTTAAATGTCAAACCGGAGCTTCGGTAATGGTGAAAACAAACTGCATAGAATCATGATATCTGCAGTACTGTCCTATATTGACCTGAGACATGAGAGACCAGGACTGAACCAGGACTAAAACAGGACTAAACCAGGACTAAAAACAGGTCTAAACCAGGAATGAGGGTTGGGATGAGCCTGGGGGTACACAGGCATAGACTATCGGGTGCCCGCAGGTGAAAGGACCGGCGCAGAGCTTCACGCCCGCAGCTGTTGCCCAATCGCACTTTGTGGACCCCCTGCTCCATGGGTTCTCTCTCTCTCTCTCAAATTCAAGATTAGTCCTGGTTCAGTCCAGATTAAGCTCTGGTTCAGTCCTGTTTTAATCCTGGTTTAGTCCTAGTTTAATCCTATTTTAGTTCTGGTTTAATCCTGGTTTAGTCCTGGTTCAGTCCTGGTTTATTCCTGGTTTAACCCTGGTTCAGTCCTGGTTTAGTCCTGGTTTATTCCTGGTTTAGTTCTGATTTAGACCTGGTTTAGTCCTGGTTTAGTCCTGGTTTATTCCTGGTTTAGTTCTGATTTAGGCCTGGTTTAGTCCTGGTTTAGTCCTGGTTTATTCCTGGTTTAATCCTAGTTCAGTCCTGGTTTAGTCCTGGTTTAGACTTTGTTTAATCTTGGTTCAGTCTTGGGTTCAATCCTGGTTTAGCCCTGTTTTAGTCCTGGTTTAGTCGTGGTTTAGTCCTGGTTTAGTCCTGGTTCAGTCACTTAAAAAATCCCCACTACACCACTGTAGGTTAGATCTATGGTGAGGTGACCCCTCTCACTGTAAGAAAGCACGTTTTTCTTTTCTTTTCTTTTTTTGAGCAGTTATAAACCCAGAGATGAAAAAAAAAAAGCTAAATAGATTAATTTAATGCCATACTGTGTAACATTGCAGGCAACATAATATAATCAGAGAAGCAGCTAGCAGATCCTACTACAAAGTAACATTGTGCACTTTTAAAGGAAGATGTACGGAGTTTGCCAGAATTGGGCAGGAGCTGTACCTGATTTTTATTGCTGTGAAATGTGAAAATTAGATCTAGTTTATTTTAAACTGTTTGTAACACTCCAAAAGTATTCCTCCCTTTCCTAATGCATTCCTAGCATCGTAATTATTCACCGCTATGAGTCTTTAAGTGCATTTCACAACTTCAGAGGCAAGAGCACTGTTAAAAACATCTCTTTAATTAGATGCAGACTGCACACAGTGGTCTAATTTTGACCCGTAAAGCTGCTTTTACAGTATGTGCTGGGGAAAGACATTTTATTTGATTGCATAATAGAAATAGATAATAGTCCATTTTACATGGATTTAATGGATTCTCATAAAAACTTAGTAAAAAAAAAAGACAAGCATATGCCTGTCAGTGTCTCCACCTCCTAAACTGATTGCATGTACCGTATTTTTCGGACTATAAGGTGCACTGGATTATAAAGCGCAATATCAATAATGTTGAAATCTCTCGTCTATTTTCATACACAAGGTGCACCTGGTGACACTTGAGACTAATACTTTAGCCCAGGCATCCACAATCCTTTGGCAGATTGTGATGTAACTCACCCAGCGTTGCGTCCCTGTCTTGGTGAATGTGTATTATGAATGTGAATGTGGTTGAATAAACCACATAGCTATTTTGCATAAACTATAAGCACTGAAAAAACTGCGATTCTGACAGATTTTTGAGCACCATGTACCACAGAAAATCGGTTCAAGGTCAGTAAGCACAACCAGAATTAATACATAAGAAGCACCGGATTATGAGGCGCACTGTTGATTTTAAGTGCCTTAAAGTCCGAAAAATACAGTATATTCATTTTATTTGCACCAGTGTGATGAGAATATGATTTCATTTTCTTATTAATCCAACAAATAAAATGATGCTGAGTAAAAAGCAATTACACCTGAAAAAGTGATCTAGAAAGGTTACTGTAAGATAACTTTTCCTTACACCACACTTGATGTCAGCTCTATTCTATAAGTTTGACGCTATAAATTGTTCTTTCATTTTTCTTCTCATGTTATAACCTTTCTAACTTTAATTGTGCTCTCCTTGTGCAGACATTGATGAGTGTGAGGACAGCCCGGACATCTGTGACGGAGGCCAGTGCTCCAACACTCCAGGAACCTTCCAGTGTCTCTGCTTCGATGGCTTCATGGCCTCTGAGGACATGAAGAGCTGCCTGGGTAAACCTCATTCAGTCTATTCAACTTTATTTTACATTTTTATTGCAATTTTCTGTATAAAAGAAAAGCATAAAACCATTCTTGACACTTAGCAAATCAATGATGAACTGTTTAGGAGGAGATCTGTGATATGAGGTTAGTGGAACTTTGGTCCCTCTGTGTTTTCCAAAGATAATTTCACAATACAACACCCCAAGTACTACAATGGTTTATTATAACCAGCAGCCAAGAGCACTGGTAAACCAAACAACATAATGGTGGTGAGTAACCCAAGAAATGACTCAGAGAAAGAGGTGACTCAGATCTTAGTGTTCATGAGAAAAATAAATATTAAAAGTTGCTGTTGATTTACAGCATATGAGGCGCTGAGAGAGACCGAAAGGAATCTGTGACATTTACAAGTTGCTCCAAAACAAAAACATGTCAACAGTGAAGTACAAGCTCTGAAAGGGCTCTTAAGACTTTATTTCTGTAACTTAGACACACTGTTTATACAGTAATTGTGAAATTTATACACATTTTAAGCAGTTTGAGATAGTGTTAAACTTTTATTGTATTCTGAATACTTAGAATACTTTCAGATTGAGTTGCAAAGGAATACATCATGTTATTTGATTATGTAGGCCTAATTTAGGCTTAATCAGTGAGAAAAACAGAAACACTGCTCTTGTTCAGATGGAAAAATTTGCGATTTTTCCATTTTTCCTCTATTTAGTGATAGTAGTAGTAGTACTTTATAGGGTCATTTTGCAGCACTACAAAATAAAGCAAAACAAAACATAGACTACAAACCCATGGATCGTGACTGAAAGAGTTTAGGCTGACGTAAAAAGTACTTAAAATGCCTAACTCTTTTAAACAATGACAGAATTCCAAGAAAGAAAAGCAGCGTATGAACAGCCTGTTTGCATTTGCATAGTTTAGGGACCACATATTAATCGCTAACTAAGTGGTAATTGATATGAATCCGTGTATCATTCGTTAATTCGTTATATAAAATAAATATATAAAAACAAAAATAAGAACAGGAAAAAACAACAGTTTTCTTCATTATTTGTCTCCAAAACCAAAATGAAAAAAAAAAGGGATAACAATTCGTTTTTAATTTTTCGATTTTGTGTTTAAAGGAAAAAACTTTTCCCGTTCCGATGACTTTAACTGCAATGCCGGACTGAACCAGGACTAAAACAGGACTAAACCTGGTCTAAACCAGCTCTAAACCAGTCTCAGTCCCGCTCTCAGTCCTGGTCCTGGTCCTGGTCCTGGTCCGGTCCCGGTCTCAGTGTTGGCCCAGACGTGCACCCTTGTAGACTGTCGGATGATCAGGAAACCGGAACCAGACTGGGACCAGACTGGGAGACCTGGTTTAGTCCTGGTTCAATTCTAGTTTAGACCTGTCAGTCCTGTTTTAGACCTGTTTCAGTCCTGGTTCAGTCCATATGCGGCGCAAAAGTCCGGCATCGCAGTCACGCAAGTCACGGAAACAGGATACAGCCTTTATCCATTTTTTCCATTATTCATTTAAACACAAAACTGAAAAATAAAAAAACGATTCATTATCCATTTTTTCAGTTTGGTTTAGGAGACAAATAATGAAGAAAATTGTTGTTTTGTCGCTTTCTTATTTTTGGTTTCATATTGAAAAACGAATTAACAAATGATACTCTTATTGATATACTAAGTAGCTGTTTCTTAGCTATTAGTTGGTATTAATCAAATACTTAATTAATGTTTATTAAGATTTCAGTGTATGCACAAAAACATCTATTGTAATGCCCACTACTTTAATGGAAAGAAAATACTTAACTGGTCAGTACTCTCAAAATGTGGCCTTAGACAAAAATGCATTGAAAATACTTTATAAATACTAAAAAAGATGTAATTAAGCATGTATTATGCATTTTACTGTTAACTAGCTGTTAATATGTGGTCCCTTATCTAAAGTGTTACCACAATTTCATAGAATTTGATAGAAAACGCTTAATAAACGGTGAAACGCTCATGAAGCAGTTTTTAATACGATGTCACCTTTTTACATTATTATTATAATGCAACTCAATGTAAAAGTATTAGTAGTAGTAGTAAGTATTCAGAACACAGTACATATTGTAAAGGTCTAAACTATAGGTACATTTCAGTAAAAAGACAGGATGTTTTTTTCTTTACAAACTAGTTATAGTTTACAAACGACATTCTATCACTAAATAATTGCAGTATTCGTGAAGCTTAGACAATTGCAATAAGCCTAGATTGGAACCTGGATGACTTCAGATTGTATTTTCGATCTGATTGCGATAAGGCAGAAGAGACTACTTTTGGTTACCGGGCAGAGCAGACCCAGAAATAGGACTATAAATACACCATTCCAGGACATAATAAGGTTTAAACCAGCAGTAAGGCACAACTTAACCAGCTCTAATCAGTGGAATAAACAAGAGATCTGAAAACTGTTCTTCCAAATAAAATATCTCACATCTGCTGTTTATGCCTTTAGCGGATCTGTTATTCCGTGGTCGTTTTTATGTGGATTCTATTAGCCAGATTTGACTGTTTGTAAAATCAGAGCTAATTGCTATGATGGATTTTTCCCAATAAAAACACAAAGCATCTATTATTTCACGTGTTTAAGCAGCCAATACTCAGAAACAAGGAAAAGTTTGGTCTACACAAAGTACATTATGTTGGCAAATTATTTGTTCAGGCCTGGTTACTTTTCTTTTGTAATTAAACCAATTTCAACTTCTACACTGTTAGATATTTGGATAACGGACAAGTAATGCTTATCACTATTGATTATTGATACACTGCAGTGACATAATAATGGGGGTTTTCTAAATGTTTCTCTGTTGGTGGGATGTTTAGCAGTTACCATGGCAAACACAGATTAGCTAACACAGACAAAAAAAGATTAATAATGGTCTGAAAACTTGAGAAACAATACAAAATAGATTTAACCAACATGTTTTCAGGAACCTGTGATCAAAACGAGCATTCATGTTCCTGTTGAGGAGTTGAACTTTCAACAAAAATCTGAGAAAAACAGCACGTGACTGGAATTATATGTGTGAGAGACTTGTTTAACCTCAACTAAGTCAGCTCTTTTGGTCAGATTGTGTTAAAATAAAGCTCAGGTTAAGTCTAACTTGTGTAAAAGAGCTTTTAACAGAGCAGTGCTTTCAGTTAGCGTCACTCCCCCAGGGAACATTGACGACATCAGCTGCAAAGTATCAATAGTAGGGGTGTAACAATAACCAAAATATCGTGATATTGCATCGTCAAAAGTCTCTCAATAATATCGTGGGCCATCACAATATATTGAATCACAAGTTTCTTTGCTTTAATTCATTGTTATGGTGCAGCAATAGTTAAAAAAACAGAGGGAACTACATCGACCATGATCCTTTGCTCCGTTTTGGTGCAAACTTCATGAAGAAATAGCAGTTCTAAGCACTTTAAATTTTAGTTCTTTTATTTAAGTCTTGTCGAGGCATTTTAAGAGGATAAAGTAGCATATTCAGAAATTTAGCTCCACAAAATATCGCTATAAATATCGTACCATAAGAGTTGGATATCGTTACATCCCTAATCAATAGTAAAAGATGTTTTCATTTGTCCAGATGACTTAACCACTATTTGGCCGTGGATCCTGCTTGGGAATCTGAAGAATTAGGCTGTATAAGAAATATGAAACACAAAATTAAATGGACCAAAACCAAGTATGAGGTTACACGAGGGAACATCACTCCATACCACAGCTGTACGTTGTGTGCACTACATTCATATATTATTCTCTTGTTTTGTTGATGTGTCCAGATGTGAATGAGTGCGAGCTGAATCCCAACATCTGTCTGAGCGGAAACTGTGAGAACACCAAAGGCTCCTTCATCTGCCACTGTGAAATGGGCTACTCCGTCCGCAAAGGCTCCACTGGGTGCACAGGTGAGACTTGAACCTGTACTCTTATCGCTTGACGTCTTATTCTTCTCAAATGGAAGTCTCCTGCTCCACTCACAGTCCATGCCTCGATTAGAGACATTCTACATTTTGTCAACATGGAAAAAGTAAGATGTACACTTGGGAAAACCTTTATGAAAACCTGGAATCCTTTTTAAAATTTTATTTTATTGAATCTGTTCATTTTTCCCTCAGTTCCAGAAAGATTTTGACACTACTTACTGATCGATTTCTGTTTCCCTCTTTCTTCTCCAGTCATGTTTACTGTGACTAGGTGATCTGGTAGTTGTTTTTGACTTTTTGTGTGTTTGTGTGTGCTTTCCTCAGCTCTATGTCTTTTTACAACTAAATTATCCCAACGGTGCTTATACTTGGAAAAACGTTAATAAATTAAGTTATTGAAAAAGAGAGAGAGAGAGATTTGAACTCTAGATCGCCAATTGATCAATCAAGTTCATGTCTCACAACTAAGACTCTATTCCTCTTATTTGCTCAATTCATTCTGTTTATGTAAGAAAGTTGTTCAAATACAGATAAACTGTCGCTATTCCTCATAACCAATCAATCAATCACAGTGAAGTGTGAAGTCCCAGAAGAAGCATGTAGCTTTAAAGGTCCAATATTGCACAAAATTTACTCTTGTGAGCTTTTTGTCATGTTAGAACATTGTTATCTCATGAAAAACAGACCTGGAGTTGTTTTGTTTCATTCACACATGTTTGAGTAAACTTTTAATTGCTAGTGTGTCTACATCTCCAAAGCTCAAAATGCTCTGCTCCAACTTGTGATGTCATGTAGTGGTAGTTTCAAGTTAACAGCTCCTTTTTACCTTTTAGCTCAGTGGAGATTGGCAATTCCAGAGCTGAAATTATCCAAATTATTCCAGTGAAGGTGTATGGAGGTTTAAAACCAAATGGAGCACTTCCTGTATTGCCACATAACATCACAAGGTTGAATAAAGTGTTTTCCATTTGACAGGGTTCCTACAGTCATGGGAATCTTGGAAAAGTCCTGGAAATTGAAAATGTAATTTGCCAGGCCTGGAAAAGTCATGGAATTTTGTAAATTTAATGAATGTTTTGGAAAAGTCATGGAATTTTCTTCCGTTCTGTTAAGTTATCACTGTGCTTTTATGATTTCTTCTGAACGTATGTGCCCTGTTGAAAGAGACGACAATAAATGCACTGACAGTATTTTGAATGTAAAAAACTATAATACCAACCCATAAGGTCAGTGGAAAGGGTTAACATTTCATATTTAGCCCTAAAAGTATGCTCAATTCTAAACATGTAGGATGACGTAAAGTGGAAAACTCATGGAAAAGTTTTGAAATTTTATCAGTGAAAAACCCTTGTGGGAAACTTTGTTTGAGAGAAGAACTTGAAACACATGAATGAAACAAAACACAACTCCTGTATGTTTGTGATGAGAAAACAACATTATAACATGGATCAGAAAATAGTGTAATATGGGACCTTTAATCTAAACTTTTCAATAAACTATTTTGCAAACTGAAACATTAGCAGAAAGTGTTGGGAAACGATGAAAAATATAAAGCTTCTAATGTTGCAACAAACTTCGATTCCTCAGAAGCTCTTGTGGAATTAGTCACCGTTTCCTTTTTGCTGAACAGAAACACACTTAAACATAATTGACGAAAACAGCAGCGGGAGCAGCAGAAGCGGAGGCCATGATGTCACTGTATCCTCTGTCAAACTAATGCATCTCTGTGCTGGAGTCTGTTTGGAGTCTTGAGTTCACTGAGGTCAGATAAACATGACGCGATGGCTGGAACAGGACCCAACACGTCACTACCTGTGCGGCCAAAACACATCATTAATTGGTGTCTGGTCAGGAAAAGAATAAAAAAAGTTTCAGATAGTATTTTGAGATAAGCTGTTCTTGTAAACACCGAAATTTTACGGTTTGAAATAGTTTTGAGTGCGAACTGTGGGCCAACTGGACGGGACCCATTAGTTCTTGCAATGGGAGCATTTGCATTTGTCGTATTTATTCACTATGTTTGTAGCGTAGACTGTATAAATAAAGAAGTGGACAAAGGGAGCTCCAGTCAAATGAAGCTCACGAGGCTAGCAGTTATAGGAGATAATTTGGAGTCAAGTTACGTATTAGAAACTTACGGACAAAATAGTGAAATGAAAACACCAGGATCATGTAATGTGGGTTAATACGAACATTTTAAGACCAAATGATGAGGCTCACTGCTGCAGTTACAGAGAGAGGGGAAAAAATATTATTATGAATATTGAAATCACAATAATTTTTTTGTTATCGATGCATTTATTCAGCATCAACAACAAAAAACTACAAAAGGACATTTTGTTATTGATAATTTATGACAAATATTCAAATACAAAATAAATATAGGGCACAAATATGTACCTTAGAGCTGTTTTACGATGTATAAAACATAAAATAAATTAAATATACTTTGAACATTAAATAAGACATAGAAAAACATAAATGTATTCAAAACAAACTATATATCCAGCTGTTCTACAATCTCTATATGTAAAAAATAAAATAAGCTTTGTTAAGCTTTACTCATTTCAACTTGATTGTATGAGTTTGGAGATTGTTTGAGACACAAATCGAAATCGCGATCAAAATCCAATTAATTGCACACCCTTAGAGAGGAGTGACAATTTTTCAATATAAAGTCAATTGGAGATTGAGTCGATGAAGCCTTATCAAAAACCTCCTCAAAAACATACCTAGAGTTGTGTTTTGTTTCATTCACACATGTCTGAGTAATGCTGTCCACATCTCCAAAGCTCAAAATGCTCTGTTTCACCTTGTGATGTCATGAAATGCTGTTTTTCAAGTTAACAGATACTTTTTACCTTTAGTTCTGTAGAGATTGTCAGTTCCAAAGCTAAAAACATCCAAATGAATTTAGTCAAGGTGTACAGAGTTTAAAAACACAGTGGAGCACTTCCTGTATTACCACATGACGTCACAAGAAGAAGTCAGCCTAAATATGCAGGATTCATGTGAATGAGACACAACACAACTCCAGGTATGTTTTTGATGAGGAAACAACATTATAACAGATCAGAGTGTGAAATGGGCCCTTTAATATAGTGACATTGTAGTTTTGAGTGGTGACAATTATGTAGAATATTAAGTGTTCATAGCAACAGTAACAGAGGTGACGCTACCATTAGGCAAAAGTAGGCAGCTGTCTAGGGCCCCCAAACCTGTAGGGGCCCCCAACCAGCTGCCCTCAGTGTCACTAATGGCCAAGGCCTCAGGAGCTATTTGATTTTGACATTAAATTAGAGTAGTTTACTTTTAAACACTAATCATAAGAAAAATAATAATAATCATAGCTAATGGATGTAAACAAAAATATAATTGTACTAGTAAAAAACTAAAACTACTTTCAGCTCTGGTTATCTAGTAATCTACCTAACTAATTAGACAAGTTTCCAATAAACCATAATTAAAATAAATAGAGATGTGCATGTCTCAAGAAAAATTAGGAAACACAGACAATAAATTAAAAAAACAAAAACCGTGCATTAAAGTGAGGGCCCTGAACTCAAGTTCAAATAGGGCCCTCAAATTGCTAACTCCTCCACTGAGTATTAGTGGTAAATCCGTAGTTACCACAACACATTTCATGAAGTATTTATCTCAATTAGTGTAGCCAGACATTGGAAGTAATTTGGGAAGTTCATTTGGGATCTTGTCTGTCCTGTAATGTTAATTTCCTCTTAGCGTCACTCGCACACTCACTCACTCTCATTCAAATCCCATTAAACCTCGCATACAGTTTATTTCTTGTTTTTGGAGAGCCTGAGTCTGCTCAAGATCTGATTCACAGCCCTGGTATTTGAACTCTGAATACCGAAGAATCAGAACGCTAATTCTTGTCAGACAGGCAGGATGTCCACTTACGATCCAGAGAGAACAAAACATGTCCCTCTTTGGAAAAGCCTTCAGCGCGTTCACGTGAAAAATGTAGATATTATTTGTCACCAGGAAATGGGTTTATGAGATTGTGTTGGTATGCGCATTTGCTACTTCCCCATGTGTGTTAAAGACAGATTTACTCCAGCTGTTCAGAAAATGTACAGTGATTTTTTATATTGATGCAATCCAAAACCATGTCAAATCAGATGTGGAATTGCAAAGTAAAGCATAAATGCTTACATGTTTCACATATGTAGCCCCCAAAGCTTTCTCATACTGGCCCCTATGGAACAGCAACAGACAATAAAAAGTATGGAACAGCTTAGTATTACCTCAAACAGGTCCTGGACAGAGTTGGACCATTATGTGTAGAGTTTGCATGTTTTTCATTTCTCAGAATGAGTTTCGTCCGGCTATTTAAGTACCAAATTTATTTATAAAGCTTTTTTTTTTTAAAAGATACAGGGTTCCCACAGTCATGGAAAGTGAAAATGTCATTTGCCAGACCTGGAAAAGTCATGGAGTTTTGTAAATTGAATGAAAGTTTTGGAAAAGTCATGGTCATTTTAGTCATTTTAGTATCTCTTTCACGCAGCTACAGCATTCTGTTAAATTATCATTAGGCTACTATGATTATTTCTGAAGGTATGTGCCTTTTGTTTGAAAGAGATGACAATAAATGCACTAACAGTATTTTGAATGTTAAAAAACTATAAAACAAAACCATAAGGTGAGTGGAAATGTTAACATTTCATATTTAGCCCGAAAAGTATGATCAATTCTACACATGTAGGTGCCGTAAAGTCATGGAAAATTCACTTTAAGTCATTAAAAAGTTTTGGAAAAGAAAAAAGGAAAAGAGTGGGAACCCTGAATATAATACAAACTATTAAAAAATAATAAGACAGAAGATACTCAAGTTAATTAACAACAAGTAATCTACACCTCATCTGTTAAAAGTATGGATTTAAATTTGCATAATAGGCTTCTGCTTCTGCTCAAGATCTGGAGGTGGGTCCTTTTTGACTCTGCACTGTGGTTACTTC